TTTTTTTAGTAAATTCCCCTCTAATATATATTCTATTCTCTTTGTTGGATACATAAAGACTAGATTTGTCTGAACAAAATGCTGTCAAATTGTGATAAAAATTGTAATTTGTCAACAAAAATAATTTATGGACTATTGCCTAGGAGTAGGATACAGGATAGAGGTATCCGTGCAGGATTCTTCTCCCACCATGGAACAATATAATCCTGGTTTCCTGTTCAAACATTATTTACTATCCAACCCCCAGTCAGAAAATTAAATAAAAAAACTTGAAAAAAAAGTTTTTTTCCAATTTTGGAGATCTTAAGAGAAATAAAAATCATCTGAATAAACTACAAATGTGAAAAAATTAACAAAAAAAAACGTTGCAAAAGAAGAAAAAGGATAGAAAACGCAATAAAGAATGGGTAATCGAACCAAAGAATCAGTTTTGTTAATGTACAGTACATCCTTTTTGAGCACACTCAGGGGCGTACGAGGGCTTTTGTTTAGGGGGGGGGCAAAATNCACATAAGACTCTATACTGAGACACTGGTAACCGCCAAAAAAGTTTTCTAAAAAAGTTTTCGGAAATAAAGTCCTAAATTTTGATACTAAAAAAGTCCTGTGGAAAAAAGTCCTTTAAAATAATTACATATTATGTAAGCAAAATTTGTTTAAAAAAGGGAAAAAAAACATTAAAATTACTAAACATTTCAAAAGTAGTCTTGTGTACAGTGTACACTGTACAGTACAGTCTTGTGTACAGTGTACATGTTTGGGCCAGTTGACATAGGGATTATAAGGGTATAATTGACAGAACTGATTCTTTGCAGTAAACAATTGAATAAAGTCGTAAAAAAGAAAATTCAGAAAGACAAATTAGATAATTTAAAGCTAGATAAATTTTCTTTTTTTTCTTTTAAATTCGGAAACTTTATTACCTTCTTCAAGAGACATTTAGCCAATAACTTGGCTCAAATAAACAAGGGGTGTTCAGAAAAAATGATAAACAAATATAGTTTTCCTATGAAGAATGTCCACTCTCTCTGATCTTCGATATGGAAGTAATCATCAATAGAGATCCTGAGATCCTTTCCCGAGTTATCCTTGGTTAGGGTTTGAACGAATTGTTTGTAAAGATCAGCTGTAGAATGATCCCCAGGGAAAAAGTTAAGACTGATCTCGACCTCTATTACAGGATATTCCTTGCTCGGCTCAATCAAACGTAAATCTAGAAAGAAATATGTTCAAGGGAGTGTTAATGTAACTTGAAGTGATCCCTTAATTAAAGAGTTACATGTATAATTCACAAAGGTGCATTTTACATCTCTTTTCTTTTCGCTGGATAAATAAGAATTGATTCACAAGTTATGTACAGACAAAGGATTTAAAATTTCTGCTTGTAATTCAGTTTTTATTTTTGTCGACTTGACAATTTTTCAATGGGTTTTACACTATTTTACGTAAATTTCAGTATTTGCGAAAATAAACAAATAGCCATGAATATTGAATATGTGGGAACACTTTTAAAGAGTTCCATATAATCATTTCATTAAAAAAACTAAATATCTGCAACGTTCCATTCTCAGAAAATGGAGAATACGACATTTAATGAATTCTTTCGATGTGTGGCTTATTTAGGGTTTAACTGTATAGGAAATAAATAGAAATGGGTTAGAAGAACAAAATTGTAAACAAGTTCCTGTTTTTACCTATATTGCATGCAATAGCTTAACTTCCGTTAAAAACAAATAAAGTTTAGTTTACTCAAATGACGACATCTGGAGAAGAAAACAGAAAGTTTGCAGAAAATTGTTGAATTTATAAAGAACTCCGGAAACTAAAACGGTTTTGTTAAAAATGGCAGATTTCTCGGGAAAAGATATGGCGCATTTCCTATAAATAAATATGGCAGATTTCTTGAAAATAAATATGGCGCATTTCTTATAAATAAATATGGCAGATTTCTCTGAAATACATATTGAGGATTTCTCTAAAAAAATATTGCGGATTTCCTGGAAATATTTTTGGCGGATTTCTTGAAAATAAGTATGGCGGATTTCTCTGAAATAAATATGGCGGATTACCTGAAAAATCCTTCCATGTTTGGAACTGAAAGTTTTCAACAGTGCTGTAGGTAACAACTTTGTGCACGGTGTTAGTCTGAGGTTAAATTATTTTAAACTTTAACAATTTATTAAAATTATGAAAGATAAAAATCACAAAGAGAGTAAAAAATATTTATCATCTTTAACAGCTAAAATGATTATGATAAAAATAATAGATTTCTTATTATTAAGATAATTATTCCTTTGTGTCAGCTGATTTAGAAGTATGGAAGCATTTAACTAGGTGACCGACCTCGGGCCGCTTAATGGTAAGCGAACTGAACAGAAAATAAAAATTATAATACATGGTGTCCCAAAAAAACATGGGAGTTAAATATAGAGAACTTTGTCCAGATTTTAATTTAATTATTTACATTATTTTCTTGATACAAGCTGGTTCATATATTAAATTTCGGAAATAACAGACGATTTTTAAGTATATATGTCTCTTAATTTCTATGCTATTGTTTATTAGGACACCGGGTTTCTAAATAAACCCGGGAATCAATTGTGACGACTTTAAAATCGTCTTTGCTAAAGAAATATTTCATATTTATTGAAACACCCTGTGCTGGACTGGAACTTTAGGAATTTAGGTTGAAAACCTTGCTATTTGTATTTAGTACATGAAAGAGGTTTTCGGAATACATTTGGAAGATTCTCAGTTGGGATGGGAGAGGGGGGGATCTAGGTGAAGAGGAAGGTTTGTATAGAGGATAATTGGGAAGGGAAATGTCAAGACCCCAAAAAGGAAACTCGGGAGTTTCGTTCAACGACACTCTTTTAAATTTCGGGTTCAGGAGTCTTAAAAGTTTCTGAAGTCAGTACTAGTAAGAAGAAGAACGAACTAGATTAAGGGACCAGGGGGGGGGGACCCAGAGAAGGAATGGATGGGTATTTGGATGGATGTACGAAATAGGGGAATTAAAGGTAGGATTAAAATTTAATAAATTAGTAAAATTGTGAGGAGATAAATAAAAGGAAGAATGGATAAATGAATGGTTGAAAGGATCGATGAAAGAATCTATAAAAGAATGAAAGGATAATGATAGGATGAAAGGATGAATAAGAAAAGATAAATGAAAGGTTGAAAGGATTAACGAAATGTAGAAATGATAAATGAAAGGATGAATAAAGGAATTTCTGAAAGTAGGAAAGGATAAATGAAAGAATAAATGAAAGGATAAATGAAAGGATAAATGAAAGAATAAATGAAAGGATAAATGAAAACCTGAGAAATCTCTGAAGATCTTCAGTTCTGCAGAATGTCTCGCAATGGTAGAGTGCTCGTGCATTTAAAACTGGAAAAAAATCCAAATTAAATTCCGACCTCCGCTCTCTAATTGTTTATTCCTAGTGAATGCGGTTTACCATATTTAATTATTCTGGGAAATGAAAAAGAAAATGAATTTATTTCAAACATGGAGAGAAAGTTAAGCACAGGAACTGAATAGAAATAAAAAACTTTTAAAAATTAAAAAAAGATGAATCACGGGATAAAAGAAGAAAATTCTAGACGGAAAAAAGTTGCTACAGTAATAAACCGAAATCTCTGAAATAGAAAAACGACTTTAAGCATCAAGTTATAACTGTATGCTTAATGACTGGATGATTAACTATACTATATACTAGTATAGTAAATCCTTGAAATTTAACTTCTACGTAGAAATGTTTAAAGTTTATATTTTGGTTAAATATTGTGTGGATTATATCTAAACTTAATTAGAATCAAATTCCATGAACAAAATTAACCATTTACGTCATTGATATATATAGTGCTATGTGTTTTGAAAAGGAAGTATCGTACAAATTTTACATAATTTAATACCACGTGATAATTGATCGCCACTTTTTTGTGCTGAGTCCAAACTTAATGAATTTGAGCCGCGTCTCAAATCCGCCGAAAACAGGTTTCAATTGAGCGCCAGCTTAAATCTTGAAACATTGAATACAATCATAAGTGGAACCAACCATATTTGAGTCACGTCTCAAATTTATAAAAATCTGGTTATTTAAAATTTTGCAAAAATTTTTGCATATTTGAAATGGCATGGTCAAGGGCTTTTCAAAAATGTATAATTTTTCATTTTTTGGACAACTTTTTTTTGCAAACATTTTTACTATATTACTGGATTTTGCGATAAAAAATTAAATTTTTGCAAATGTGCAAATTTTTTTGCAGATTCTAAAAGTAGTGCACAATAGCTTTCCAATGATGTATCATTTATCATAATTGGACATCAAACATGGGATTTAGAGGGGGGGGGGCCAAATTGCCCCCCCCCCCCAGCATATCCTGGTTTTCAAGTACCCCAGCAGAGATAGGGTTAAGAGAGCTGGATGCCTGATTAACACTTTAAACCTTTGAGTAACAATGGTGAAGATATTGTCGTTTTTCATGTAAAAGATTAAATTCTGTAACTTCATTCATTGCACAATTCTGCAAGTCACTCACAGAGAGTAATTGCAATTGAAAATGATCAATTTACAGATAATAAAACAAAGATATCTCCGTAAAAAGGTTAATAGAATACCATTGTGAATCGATCATGTATCTCTGAACACTGCGGATCACTTGAAAATATGTCAACAGGCCCTTTAAGCGATGTTGTCTAATGTTTGAAGTGCTAAAGTTGGAGAAGGAATAGTTAGGAGTTCAAGGAGAGAGAAAGTAAAAAGTTTAAAATATTCATTTTTGCACATTTCCAAAAAGTTGTCGAATGCATATGGTATCGGGAAAGTTTAAGATGATTCTCATCAGTGTCTTTTTTAAGCCCTTGTTTATAATATGATGATCTAAACATATTCAGTTTGTTTTTTATTTACTTCCGAAAAGGTCATTTAAAGGGACTGTAAGCGTAATTTCAAGTGACCCTCCAAGCAAAGATGTCAATGCTCGATTTACAAGTTTACACAGACATCCTTGAAACCTTAATTTTGGAAAATAACGCCGCTGTTTTTGACTTGAAAAGTGTTTAATTCAGATAATTTTTCCTTTGTTATTTAGAATGCGCAGGTCACTTTTGAAGAGATTCCACAAATGAAAATAAACGATTAAAAAACACACAAAAATGAATATATAATTCATGTTTGATCAAACAAAGCTTTAAGGGCACAGTTATAAATCTAGCATTGCCATCTTTGCCTGGATGGTCCCTTCAAATTACGGAACAGTCCCTTCAAATTACGGAACAGTCCCTTCAAATTACGGAAAAGTCCCTTCAAATTACGGAAAAGTCCCTTCAAATTACAGAAAAGTCCCTTCAAATTACGGAAAAGTCCCTTCAAATTACGGAAAAGTCCCTTCAAATTACGGAACAGTCCCTTCAAATTACGGAACAGTCTCTTCAAATTACGGAACATCTAAAAATTAAGTAAGTTCTAACCCCATGTCCTGGTACAGTATTCTTTGCAATTCTGAACTAAAACTATATAAGATGGAAAGATTACCTATAACGGCATGATTTAGAGAAATAAAAAACATCGAATTGAGCTGAATGCGTCGCTTTGGAACAAAGAAGAATGCAGAATTATATAAATTGCATTTAAAACCTTTGTTATATTCGTTTTATTAAACATGTCAGATGTTTGAAGATATTGAACGTAGAGTTTAAATACACCTGCATTTCAAGTATAAAATATTCAAGTTTATTGAATTCTAGTTCTAAACCGGAGAAACGATATATTTCTAACCCAAAGGTACATTTATCTATTCCATCCTATCCCTGGTTCTAAATAAAAGGGGTCCCGAAAAAAGTAATCTCTCCTTTCCTATTCTAACTTGGCTTATCCTATCCTTTCCTTCCTTTTCATTTTTCCTTTCGTTTCCCATATCCTATCCTTTCCTTCCTTTTTAGTTTTTCCTTTTGTTTCCCATATCCTACCCTTTCCAACTTTTCCTATTTTTATTTTTATTTCCTGTTTTATCCTATCTTTCCTTTCACATACTTCTTTTCCTTTCCTTTTCTCTTCTTCCTTTTATTTTATTCCTTTTCCTTCATTATCCTGTTCTACCTTTTTTCTCCTATTCCACCATATTTTTCCTATAGTATCCTTCCTTTACATTCTTTTTTTTTTCTTTTCTTTCTTTTCATCCTCTCCTTACTTTTTCCTTTGAGTAAATTATAATGTACCTAAAAAATCTCGTACTTCAAACAGCTAAATCAGCTTCCTTTCCTTCCTTTCACGTCCATTCTTTTCTACTCTATCCTGTCTTTCCTTTTCTATCCTATCCATACTTTCCTTTTCGATCCTGTTCATACTTTCCTTTCCTATCCTGTCCATACTTTCCTTTTCTATCCTATCCATACTTTCCTATTCTATCCTGTTCAAACTTTCCTTTCCTATCCTGTCCATACTTTCCTTTTCTATCCTGTCCTTCTTTTTCTATCCTGTCCATATTTTCCTATTCTATCCTGTCCATACTTTCCTATTCTATCCTGTTCAAACTTTCCTATTTTATCCTTCCTTTACCTTTCCATTTTACTTATCCTTCAATCTTCCTACCTTTTCATATATTGCATATAATAATGTACCCTTTTTTCTTTTTTCTTTTTTCTTCTACATTTATAATTTTATTCTATTTACCCATTTTAGTCTACTTAATTCTATTCTATTTTATTATATTCTATTCTTTTCTATTTTATTATATTCTATTCCATTATATTCTATTCTATTTTATTCTATTCTATTCTATTCTATTCTATTCTATTCTATTCTATTCTATTCTATNCTGCATAAAGTATATATATATTTCCCCAGCAATATGTTTCTATCTATCTATCTATCTGCATAAAGTATATATATATTTCCCCAGCAATATGTTTCTATCTATCTATCTATCTGCATAAAATATATATATATTTCCCCAACAATATGTTTCTATCTATCTATCTAATAATGTTAAACCCGAAATCAAGGCTTTTCCTAAAAATTGACAATATTTGAATAAATCGAGATTTAACTTGATTTTAAATTCGAAGAAATATTATAATATGAATATGGATGAAAATCAGAAGAAATACAATGTCATCCTTTTCATTTCTTTTTCATCATGATTATTGATTTGTGAAATGGATAAAGTCCCAATACTAGATTTGAATTTAAAACAAGCAAATAAATTGTTAAACTTTCGAGCAACACATAAAAATCTTTTCAAAAGTATTTTTTCCGAAATTTCAAGCCTATTGGAACACACCGTCTGTTTGTTTGATGAGAAGTTTGTTTGTTTGTTGTTTGTTTGTTTATATCTGTTGGTGGATAAAGTTAAGATAAATGTGAACGATGTGGAAAATTTAAAGTTTAAAACCTCTGTTATAACCTGTCAGAACTTGGTTTCTCTCCAAAGAGAATAGAATATATATTAGAGAGGAATTTACTAGAAAAAAGTGTATAACGGCCATTTTGTTGTACTGTTTCCATACTGCAGGTGTACTTCACATATTTATGCTCTATATAACCTTATGGGCCCTGGAATATCATTTTATAGAAAATCTAAAATTAATATTAAAAGAAAACCAAATTATGAAATAGGCTGGTTTCATAATTGACCAATGATCATTTCACAAAGACTCTATGCCTTTCACTTTACAAACGATGATTTTCCCTTATAACTATAAATCAAATGATGTTTTTTATTCACCTAATTCATTATAAAGCTTATTTAACGGCTTTAAAAAATTCGAAATTGAAATTGAAATTGAACTCCCTTTCAGGCTGAAAGGGACTGACAAAATTCATACCGAGGGATTTTATAAATTCCGCTCTAATATATATTCTATTCTCTTTGTTTCTGTCATATAAAGGAACGATCCAACAAAAGGAGATGATACACAAAACGTGAAAAAAAATAGATAAAAATCTTAGAAAATGAAAATTATATTTCTAAATTAAAAAATTTGATCTTTCGCTTTTCAAAAAATCCTTCGAATTTATCTCAAAACTTTTTAGAGTCATTGGCTGGAATGGTCCAGATTAAAACTATTAGGCCATGAAATCATATTTTTGTTGTGGTAATTCTCGCATGATTTAGTAACTATAATGAGATCCCTTTAATTAAAAAAATACAGAAATGAAATCGTTTAGGAAGATTTTTGTGTTGAATTACCCTTTAAATAAACCAAGACTTTTTACTCTTTTGACATTTTCATAGAGACAGCAAGTCCCCCGCTAAACCTCCTCCAAATATCCCCATCAAACCCCTTGCTTCCTTCCTCCAAATAGAGATGGTCATTGTTTTTGTGAACAAACAACATTTTTCGTAAACGATGATGTCGTTCAGAAAAAAAACGCTGAACGAACAACCTTGATTGTTCAGTGATTTTTCAAACGAACGATTTAAAATCGTTTGAATGAACTTGAAAAAATTATCATTTTTTACTGAACCAACGAATTTTCCGAAAGGTTAAAAAAAAATACAGTTTTTTACTGAAAGAACAATTTTTTCAAACGAACTTATTTTACTGAAAGAATAATTTTATTGAACAAACGATATTTACTGAACAACCAGTTTTACTAGACAATTTCGTTTGTTTTGAGAAAACGAACGAAATTGATGGAAAATGAGCGATAATATTGAGAACGGATGAAATAAAATTTTTGAACGATTAAAAAACAAAATGAAAAAAGCCGAAAGCGCCCATCTCTACCTCTAAATTCCCCCATTAAACCCCTCATTTCTTTTCCTAGTTTTCCGCTCTCTAACATGAACATGAACATCACTTTGTCCCAACTCACTCTACCTCAACTTGACATATTATCATAATCATAATCTCCATAATTTCCAAGCTCTCTTTTTTGGCTTTTATTACAAAGCAACCAAAATTACATAAAGCAAAAGCAGAAAATGGTTAAACCGTTTCTTAATATCTTTTTAACGGTAAAGACTTTGCTATACTGAACAAAAGAAAACTATTGACCTGCCGACTTTAAAACTTTTTAAATTCTTTGATTTTTAAAGAGCTTATAAAATTAGCCCAGAAAAAAACGAAAAAAAACGTAAACCTAGCTTTGTGAAGTAACTTAGCTCAATTCTGGCATTAAAAACACAGAACACAGTTTGAAAGTCCCAGGACTAGGAATGTTTTTGTTTTATCATTGTTTCAGGAGTCAAACTTAATTGTAAAATCAGGCCCATCATTGTATATTGTAAGAGTGAGCACACGGTGTAAAGAGGGGGGGGGGCAGAGCCCTGTTACTTGATTTTAACATTTGATCTTACAGGTAGGCATAAGATGGTTGCCCCCCCCCCGGACCCGCAAACCCCTCCAGTTGTATTTTGTGAAACTGACATGCTATTTTCTAATTATTAAGAAGTTATCATGTTTATTGGGATACCCTGTAGGCACAGGAAGGGGGGCACGATTCCTTTGCCCCCTCATCAGTTCAAACAACTCCTCTTTTAAAAATTTATTTCAAGAATTTAAAGATATTATTTATATAAACTTTGAAACTGTTATTTTCCGTATTTATCTATGCATTGTAGAAATTATCGATAAGATACGTCACACATACTGTTTTTAACAGTATGTATGACGTTTATTTATCAGCAAGACAAGACATTCCGTAAAATCATTATATTTAGTCTAGCTCTGGCCCAGATATCGTGAATAAATGTAAAAAGTATAATCCTCCATGTCTCTTTAAGTCATAAATCACCCCCATTCATATTTCATACTTAATATCTAGTTAGAAAGTGTTCCCTGCACTATAATTCTTTTATAAAGTTCTTAAAAGCTGAGAAAATGCTACTTTTCAATTTTCTGCAGAAAGTTTTATCTCTGTCAAATATATTCAGTTAAGATTAAGGGTATAATGGTGTAAAACTCCAATAAAATTATATTAGACTTTAAAAAATGAAAAATAGAGCAATCGTAAAAATGAAGAAAAAGAATAAGATTAAAACAAGAAAAAGAATAAAAGCAAGAACAAGAACAAGAACAGGAACAAGGACAAGAACAGGAACAAGAACAAGAACAAGAACAGGAACAAGAACAAGAACAGGAACAAGAACAAGAACAAGAATAAAAACAATAACAAGAACAAGAAGAAAAACAAGAACAAGAACAAGAAAAAGAACAGGAACAAGAACAAGAACAAGAACAAGAACAAGAACAAGAACAAGAACAAGAACAAGAACAAGAACAAGAACAAGAATAAAAACAATAAAAAGAACAAGAAAATGAACAAGAACAATAATGAAAACAAAAATAAAAACCAATAACAAGAACAAGAACAAGATCAAGAACAAGAATAAAAAAGAACAAGAACAAAAAAAAGGAAAAAAAACAAATAAATAAACAAATTACCTTCGTTAATATTTGCTCCAATAGTAACTAGAAGCACTAGAACAATAATGATGTTCATCAAAGTAATATTATTCAATGAATTCTCTGTCTCCTGAACGACAAAAAACCGTTCATGTCACCACTTTGCATCGAAAAATTGTATTCGAAAACATTTTTTAATTTCTTTTTGACATAATAAAAGAGAAGTAAACCTATAGGCATAATTAGGGGAAATCAATCAATCAAATTTGGTTTGGTTCCAGAGCACTATATTTTGGAGACCACTGTATTGTTTTCAATTTAAAACTTTCAATAGGAAAGGGAACAAGTCTTATATTCATCTTAAACTTCATTTCCGACTTTTCAAAGAATTGAAAAACAACAAATACAGATCCTAGATCTTATTCTTGCACTTGAAGAAATAAAAAGAAAAATGAAATTGGCAATAAAATGAATTTTTACCGTTTACCAAGATATATACTTCAATTTTGCAAGGATATAAACGATAACAATGCTAGGCCGAGACTCAAATGTTTATAAAGGAACACCCACATCACCTAAAAAAAACCCCCCCCCCCCCACTCTTCATGTAGGGGGGGGGGAAAGACAAGTAACCCCCCCCCCCTCAGACTTTAAAGAGATAAAATGAGGTAAAGGAAAAGTTGTTCAATTCTGAAATAAAACAAATTGCCAGGTTTATCTAAACTCGATATTTTATAGATTGTAAATCAAAGTATTTATTTTTAGACAAGGTTTCTCCAAATTGTAGAACTTTCTTGAGCTAAACTTTTCATAAAGGGGGGGGGGTGATTTCGTAGATTAATTTCATGAAAATTTTATTTGAAGATTAATTAAGATTGTGAAATTAGTTGAATGATTGTTTGGGGGTTATAACTAATAAAGTTGTAAATGGTTTAGCTATTTATGCATCAGAAAGCTCATAATAACTGTAATTTGAGGTTTTGCCAAAATATAAGTTTTATACAACAATTTAGAGTAAAAAGAATAAATTAGAATATAATAACCAGGAATGCAAAGGAAGAGACTCCTTTAAAATCAACTCAAGTTTCTGCATTTTTCTATAAATTGTAAAAAAAGAACTGAGAAAAGGAAAATAAGCGGAAATGTTCTTTATATTGAATAAAATACCGACCATGAAGAGATTGGACCAATTTGAAGGCAATAAACTTCACATTCCCATTCGACTATTATGCACCTTTTTCTGGGGGGTTTCAAATTAGATTGTTAAAGATTTTTAATCATCCTATAATTATTTTTATAAGATAAAATTCCTGAATTGGTTTGAAAACAAAAATTTCAGTTAAAAGTTTTAAAACATTAAAACGATTTTTATCAATTGCTAGATAAAAAAGCAGTCAAACTTTCATATAATGATTTAGGTTCAATATTGTCTAATTCTTCCTCCTTCAATTATATCTTCGTATCATTTCTTTTCTCGTACTTGTACAAAACTGCAACATATCATGTCCTGTCTAATTAAACAGTATCATGTCCTGTCTAATTAAACAGTATCATGTCCTGTCTAATTAAAGAGTATCATGTCCTGTCTAATTAAACAGTATCATGTCCTATTTAATTAAACAGTATCATGTACTGTCTAATTAAACAGTATCATGAACTATTTAATCAAACAGTATCATGTCCTATTTAATTAAACAGTATCATGTCCTATTTAATTAAACAGTATCATGTACTGTCTAATTAAACAGAAACATGTCCTGTCTAATTAAACAGTACCATGTCCTATTTAATTAAACAGTATCATGTCCTATCTAATTAAACAGTACCATGTCCTATTTAATTAAACAATAGCATGTCCTATTTAATTAAACAGTATCATGTCCTATCTAATTAAACAGTATCATGTACTGTCTAATTAAACAGTATCATGTCCTATCTAATTAAACAGTATCATGTCCTGTCTAATTAAACAGTATCCTGTCCTGTCTAATTAAAAAGTATCATGTCCTATCTTATTAAACAGTATCATGTCCTATCTAATTAAACAGTATCATGTCATGTCTAATTAAAAAGTGTCATGTCCATTCTAATTAAACAGTATCATGTCCTGTCTAATTAAACAGTGAATAAGGAAAGTAAAAGTTAAATTGTGGATCTTAATCATGGTTTTGATACGGATTTAAAATCTATCACGAAAATAATTAAAAGTTTTCCACGCATTTGAAAGAAAAAACTAAAATCTAATTAGCATTAAGAAAAACGAAATAAAACCATGGAATTAGAAGACGGAATTTAAACTACTTAAATCGAAATTACTTAAAGAATAGTAAATTGTTAAGATTAAATTAATGGTTTTTGTTCCTTGTTGCACTGATCTACTAAAACATCAGCCTCCGAGGTTAGGTTCAGGAACAAATCCTCCTTATCCTCCACATGGATATCCCCGGCCTCCAAACGTATAGGAGGCTCATGAACTAGTTTATAATCCTTGTGTTGGAGGCTGGAGGAGGTTAGGTTTCCACATGGTCCTAATACACACCCACAGTTCAAACTATTAAAGGGACTGTAAGCGTAATTTTAACTGACCATCCATGCAAAGATGACAATGCCCGATTTACAATTGTACCCTTGAAACGTTAATCTCATCAAAAATGTAGAAGGTATTGTCGTTTTTCTGACTCTTATTAACAAAAAATGCACAAGTCACTTACAAATGCATAGAAACCGCAAATGAAAATAAAAAGTTTAAAGAAAAAAACATTGATATCTAATTCATACTTGACCAGACAAAGCTTACCCTCTATTTTGACTGCAGAATTGGTTTAGAAATAATACATTAAAAATACATTATTTAAATTAGAAAAATTCTCCAAGAAAATCAAGAAAATTCGCGAAATTCACTTAAGAATTGTTGTCTTGTAAATCATGTCCGAAGTAAACACATTTACATTTAAACGATAAAATTATTACTCAAAAGAGAAAAATTGAACAATAGTTTATAGCATAAAAACTATATAATTTATTTAAAACGAATAATTTTTAAAATTCTTTCATTGATTTTAACCCAAATTGATTTCTATTACAAGGATGTGATTGTGTGGTAGTGTACTGTTTTATTTCTATGGATTTAATAAGCAGTATTGTTAATATATCTATTTTAAATCTACTTCGAATTTAAATTACTTTTAGAAATAGTAAAACGAAAAATAGAAGTGTTTCGGTTGAGTTGGAACTTGAAGAAGTTAGAAGGGGAGGCTGCCTTGAATTTTAAGATGTAGAGTTTCGATTAAAAAGTGTAAAGTTTGGTTTGAATCGGAGTTTTATTATTATTTTAGAAATACAGTATTTAAAAAATAGGCTTTCAGGTTACTTCGCACCCGTCTTCTATTTAAATTGTGTACATTTTCTCTTTGTATACATTGTATAACATTCATAATTCTCTAAAAAAAAGTTGCGAAATTTTAAAATTTAATGAAATCGAATTTTGTTGGAGGCTTATTTTGATTATACACCCGATCGGTTCAGCCGTTTTGACGTTTATTGGATACAAACAGACAGACAAATAATCTAAAATAAATAGATATATACTACATAAAGCGCTTGAAATAGTGCTAAGTAAACGAATTGTAAGAATTTCCAACATATTTATCAATTATCCGACATAAGTAGAATTATTCTCTAGCAAAGAAATTAAATCCTATATATTCCAAGGTAATTTTTGAACATGAACCAAGAATATTTTTCTAAAAACTTTTTTTTCTCTCAAGTTTGACATCTAATATTCAGGATGCAAAGTTTGTTCCCAAGTTGTTCAAGTTTATATATTTAAGAATACATACTTGGTTCCTGTATCTACAGTTTAAACTAGGGATAAAGAATTTGCAAAAAAACTGAAAGAAAGTTGTAAAATTGAGATTAAAAATCCGGAAGCCGAATTTAAATAATTTGAGCTTTTGGTTAAATTTGAACCGCGGCTCCAAGATTTAAGCCGGCTCAAATAAAACCGGTTATTAGCGGATTTCTTAGATTACGGTTGATAAAAACGAACGCAGAAAAATCCTTAAAATAACACAAAATATAGTTAAGAAAATTATTTCAAAATTTTCTTAATAACCGATTACATTTCTCGTCTTGATTTACAAAAATCTTACATTTCTCGCTTATAATTGTTCTTTAAATTGATCAGGCATTTTGAAGAGACCCCTCTTCCTCCCTCAAGCCAGAATTTATCCATTTTAAGAACAAAAAATAGTCATTAGATACAATTAAATCCTGGCTTATTAAAATAATAGCTTATAATCTGCATATTTTATTATTACAGAGACGATTTTCCAATATGATGATTTGGACATAAATAAATAAATAAATAAAAGATCAACCATCATAAAATTCGATCTTAAGCTTAAAAAAACGTTTAAAGTTAGAATAATTCTTTGGCAACGAAATAAGGAAGTTTAGGGCTTTATAGAGTGTAGGAATGTATAGCAATGTATATATATATATGTAATAGATTCTAAAGACTTATATATTGTACTCCTTTAAATTAAAATTAAATTGTACTGAAGGTTGCCTAAATGCGCGAGAAATCCGAAACAGTACAAACTGTTTATAGCCAGGAGGGTCAACCACAGGTAGAAGGTGAGGCTGGCCAGTGCAGCGAAGAAAATCCTGTTTTTAGAATCAGGTTTAGAGGTCTTCCAGGAGAACAGACAGGGGAGCAGTGTTACAAGGAAGAAAAAACAGTCTATAGGCATCGATAATTATAATAATAATAATAATGATAAAAATAATAATGAATACAATACAATACAATACAATACAATACAATACAATACAATACAATACAATACAATACAATACAATACAATACAATACAATACAATACAATACAATAAAATACAATACAATACAATACAATACAATACAATACAAACAAACAGATATTACTTCTTTATATATATGATATACATTTTTTGATTAACTAAACCCCCCCCCCCCGTGTGGGGAAAAATGTTGGCTTTCTTACTCTTCTTGTAATTTTCAAGATTATTTTCAAGAAAATATCTAAATAATAATTATACTTCTACTACTAAAAACCTCGAAATGATCGCAATAATAATAACAATGGAGGATCTACTATAAAAATATTGTTTGTTTGAACGTATATTTTGCATTTTTTATGTTAAAATCTAGATCTACGTCATGCTTCCTTTCAATGCTAAAGTATATAAGTATCAATACGTATAATTGATTAATTATAATAATGTTAGAACAATAGAATAGACCCAGACAGCCTTGATTACCTATGCATAAAGAAAAATTATTAATTAATATTTATTAATATTATCGAGTGTTGCTGGCCTAGAAGGAGAATAACGACAATGATTTCGCTGAAGTTGATGATGATGTTGCAGAACCCACCCGGGCAGGTCCCCACCAGGTTCCGGGTCAACGGCATCATGTACAGTTGTACACCTGTACACTGGGCCTTAAAGGGACTGTTCAGAATTTAAACATGCTACGAATTTTGTTATAAAACACTTTTAATGATAACATTTCTAAAATGTCCTTTATGATTTAAAAATGTGATCGCTTGCGGATTTCCGAGCGATCTTTTATCTGGATGGTCTTACTCAGTAAAATGCACTTTAATAGTAGGAATATATTAAAGATAAAACCTTTCAATTCAATATATAAAAATAAAATAAAAATGAACGATGATCTTTCCAACCCGTTGTCGTAGAACTTTGATATTTCAAACCACCAATTCTGTTAGGTAAATATCAAGTAGTTTCACAATCATATTGCACATGTATAAGTATTAGAAGATTTGAGTTAGTGGCAAGAATTCAGTACTTTTCGATGTTTACACTTTTTTTAATGTGCCCTTTACCCCTTTATGTATCAATACAACTAATAAACTAAATTAAGGGTCATATTAGATGATCATCAAACTTAAAGATTAAAGGAGTGTAAAAAGGGAACTGTCGACGACTTAACTCCATTTAAAGAGGGACACAACCAGTACCCTTTAACCCCTTATCATAATTAATAATACAGGAAGCTATCTTCGTTTTTCTGTCTTGAAAGTGTTTAATTCTGATAGGATATTCCATTGCTTCTATGACAGAAATCTAGCAAATCTCTTTTATAGAGAAACCCCCGTAAAAAAATCTTAAACACATTGTTATCTTATATGCATTCTTAATCAGGCATAGCTTTCAAGGGTATCGTTGTGTATCGGACAGGAACCTAAAATAAATGAAGGGTCACTTGGAATTCCGTCTTAAGTCCCTTCAGTCCAAATGGAAATAATGTGCTATTAAGATCAAAGAATCATCAGACAAATAAAAAAGCTTTTAAATTGGTAAAAGATCTCAAATAAGATCTCAAATAAGAAAGCTAATAGGATCTCAAATAAGATCTTAAATAAGAACTCAAATAAGATTTCAAATAAGATCTTAAATAAGATCTCAAATAAGATCTTAAATAAGATCTCAAATAAGATCTCAAATAAGATCTTAAATAAGATCTCAAATAAGATCTCAAATAAGATCTTAAACATGATCTCAAATAACATCTCAAATAAGATCTCAAATAAAATCTCAAATAAGATCTCAAATAAGATCTCAAATAAGATCTCAAATAAGATCTCAAATAAGATCTCAAATAAGATCTCAAGAAACTTATTTTAGAAGTCGAAAACAGCATTGACAATATGAGTTTGTTTTTTCAGTCCAAAGGTTCTGGGAAAAAATTATTTTTATAGATTTTTTAGGATTGGCATTGATGGCAGAAACTTCTTTTGTGGAACCTAACTTTACAACCTTGGAGGCAGTTAAGCAAGGAAATAAACATCGGGGAGGGGAAACTGAAAGAAAACAACTGTCGTTGAAAATAACTAAATGTGTGAATATCCTTCGACCGAAGAATGACTCTTTAGACTCAACCCCAAAAATGAATTTATAAAATGTACTTACGTTTATTGGTCCCGAATCAAAGAGAATAGAATATATATTAGAGTGGAATTTAAACTAGAAAAAAGTGTAAAACGGCCATTTTGTTGTACTGTTTCCATACTGCAAGGTGTACTTCACATATTTGTGCTATATAACCTTTTGGGCCCTGGAACATCATTTTATAGAAAATCTAAAAGAAAACCAAATTATGAAATAGGCTGGTTTCATAATTGACCAATGATCATTTCACATAGACTCTCTATGCCTTTCACTTAACAAACGATGATTTAAAAAAATTCGAAATTGAAATGGATAGTCTAGGGAACATACTGTATTAATTTATTCTACTGCATAAAATTTGTGAACATTTACATGATTTGACTTTGAACTACCTTTCAGGCTGAAAGGGGCTGAAAAAATTCATACCGAGAGATTCCTTTAATTCCTCTCTAATATATATTCTATTCTCTTTGTCCCGAATATATAAAAGATGTCTCAATTACGTAATTATTTATGAATAAAAAGCAATTGTTATAATTCCTGGCTAGTCCCTTTACCTCAGTTCACATGGTATACATCAATCACAGGGTTGTACAAACAGTACATACAGTACACAGATCACTTAATTTACATAGTACATTCAGTACATCAGGGTTTATTCATTTTAGCTTGTGGATTATTTCCAACAGAGTTTTCTTGAATTTACGCAATTTTCTTCTGCAATATCACGAGGGTTGGGGGGGAGGAGACCTTGAAACCAATAAATATTGGTTTTATCATACTCCAGCATTCAGAACACACAGTTTCCACCTCCTGGAACCTAGTTCAACCAGGATATATATTGTGTTCTGTATCTGGGTATACCCTGAGCATACCAGGAACCAAGAAGAAGGAGGAGGATAGAGGATTCTGTATACTCGGCCTCTAGAGTCCAGCCTGATACTGAGCCCCAGGACAACTATCGATCCTAGTGGTTGAATGGAGCCAACGCATGTTTGGGGCTCCGGCCTCCCCAACCCCTCCTCCTCCTCCTCCCCCCCCACCTCCACCACTCCCTTCCCCTCCCCAACCCCTACTCCCTCCTACTCCACCTCCTCCTCTCCAGAGTTTGTCTCTGAGGAGTTTTCTCTCCAGAGTTTGTCTCTCCAGATTTTGTCTTTCAGGAGTTTTCTTTCCAGGGTTTTTCTCTCCAGATTTTGTCTCTCAGGAGTTTTCTCTCTAGAATTTGTCTCTCACGAGTTTTTCTTTCTCAAAGTTTGTTACTCCGTAGTTTTCTCTCACAAGCTTGTTTTTCTGGATTGGAATTTCAGATATTTGTCTCTATTTTGTCTCTCTGTAGTTTTTCTCTACAGATTTTGTCTCTCAGTAGTTTTCTCCCTGCAGTTTTGTCTCCAGAGTTTGTCTCTCACGGGTTTTGTCTCCAGAGTTTCTCTTTCAGGAGTTATATCTCCAGAGTTGGTCTCTCAGGAGTTTTGTCTCCAGTGTTGGTCTCTCAGGAGTTTGGTCTCCAGAGTTTGTCTCTCAGGGGTTTTGTCTCCAGAGTTTGTCTCTCAGCAGTTTTGTCTCCAGAGTTTGTCTCTAAGGGGTTTTGTCACCAGAGTTGGTCTCTCAGGAGGTTATCTCCAGAGTTTGTCTCTCAGGGGTTTTGTCTCCAGAGTTTGTCTCTTAGTGGTTTTGTCTCCAGAGTTAGTGTCTCAGGGGTTTTGTCTCCTGAGTTTCTTTCTCAGGAGTTTTGTCTCCAGAGTTGGTCTCTCAGGGGTTTTGTCTCCAGAGTTGGTCTCTGAGGGGTTTTGTCTCCAGAGTTGGTTTCTCAGGGGTTTTGTCTCCAGAGTTGGTCTCTCAGGGGTTTTGTCTCCAGAGTTGGTCTCTCAGGGGTTTTGTCTCCAGAGTTTGTCTCTCAGGAGTTTTGTCTCCTGAGTTTGTCTCTCCTAGGAGTTTTCTATCCAGATTTTGTCTCTAAGAAACTTCTTAGAAGTATATTACTTCGTAATTTTTCTCTGACAAGATTGTTTTTCTTGGGTTAGAATTTCAGATATTTGTGTCTTTTGAGTTTGGCACTCCGGCGTTGAGAGTTTCTCAGAATTTGTCTCTCTGGAGTTAGTCTCTTTAGTGTTTGTCTCTCCAGAGTTTGTGTCTGTCAGTCTGTCTCTAAAGGAAAATAATAGAAAATATGAAGGATGTCCAAAGATACATGAGACGACTTGGATCGAAGGTCTTCTTTATTTATCAAAGCTGATGGGCATTTTTTGGTTTGTTTAGAAACAAAAAATCTACTTCCTCAAAAGATTTAACAAAATGATCTTTGATGCATAATGTTAAAAAAGAAAACTTAAAAACATAGAATTTTGAAACATCGTCAAAAATTCAGATTCTTGGAGCCTCTAAAAAGTAAAAAATATTTTGCCCGTCTCTGTCAACTTATAATCAATTTTATTATTAATACAATTCCAATTTTTCGGAAAATACTATTTTTGGAAATCAGAAGAAGCCATCTACAGTTTGTGTCAATGTACAAATATATTCGTCTTGTCTGTCTGTTTGTTTATTTCTGTAAAATAACATCAAACGGCTGAACCGATCAGGTCCAATTTTTTTTTGAGGCAACTCATATGTCTCCATGGGAAAGGTTTATAATTGGACAAATAAAAAATAAAAATAAATAAATAAAAATATGAAAAAAATTTTTTAACGCCAATTAAAATCCGCGATTATCTTCATAAACAAAGTAAATTTGGAATTAAAAAGCAAACCTAAAAAAATAAGTTTTTAGAATGGGTAGTTGAATAAATGTTTTAACAATTTATATTTTTTTATAATTTTTTAGTACAGAACAGAAAAATCTACTATATTATTGATGTATTTTTATGCTTATATATTGTAGATAAAATAATTTCAAGAAATACTACGATAAAAAAGTGGCAACAAGCACTCTGATTTTTAGCATGGTTTCCTACCCTCCCTGTCCAAGGTTTGTACTCATGGGTAAAACTATGTGTTTGAGTCTGAAGAGAGGAAAGAGAGATATCTATTAGAATAATTGAATGTTTGCTGAGTACAGAGTATATTCAATATATGCATATACATATTGTATATTCTATGTTTTATATGTATGCTCTGTTAAGATGCTGAGCATGAAGTAATTATATATTCTGAATATACAAAATACATATATATACACAGGATGTCAAATGATTAACGAGAAACCATATTTTTGACTCGTCTTAGAAACAGAGCTAAAATATTTTTATGTTGTTAAAAAACACAACCTTTAAAACTGGCCGAGTTCTTAATGTTTACGATAGTCCACATATTGTTAGGACACATGCTCTGAATACAGAATTATTTGACATTTTTGGCGCAAATAACACATTTTTAAAACTTTTTCATAAGCTTAGATAAAAGCAATACACAAAAGTTCTTCTTAAAGATATGAAAGATTTTTTTCACAAAAACGTTCGTTAAATAGGACGGGAACAGTTTTTTAATGATTATTCCGAGTATCCTTTACACCTTTGTTTGATCACAAATGAATGGGAAATCCTCATTTTCCAAATTAAATAATGATTATTTTTTACTGTGGTTTCTCCCAGGGGCTGAACCAGCTATTTAAAAAGGGAAGGGGGTCAAACTTCCAATAAAACTGGGATAGGAGCACCGAGTGAAACTTGTGAGCGAGGAGGGGGTGTAGGGGGACGGAGCCCCCCTTCAATTTTTTTTGTAGAAATTAGCATTGAGAGTGAGTATAAATAGCAAACAGTAAATTATCTCATTTTTCCAATTTTGTGAAATTTTTCTGAAATCATTTAACAGAAGCAAAATTGTATTCTACTTGGAATTTTAAGACATAATTTTAAAATGCATTTTTAAAGAAGAAATTTTGCTACATCAAAAAAATCTTAATATTTTTTCGTAATCAAAATATGTTTTTTTATTTAAATCAGTCCATTTTCATATTTTTTATCTTCTGTAATTTGATTTGGATTCGGGAATACAACCCTGTTCATAAAATACCCATGTATTGAATATCTTTCTGAAATTTTAATTTTAATTTGTATTAGTGCTTTTTTACACTTTTTATCATAACTTATTTCAGGAAGCCATTTCTGAAATTTGTAAACATTTCAATTTTAAAACATGCCAATAAGAATTCCAAGTAGAATACAATTTTGATTCTGTAAAATTTCTGAAAAATGTAACAAAATTTTGTTTCCATGTCGCTGTAATGTTACTAAAGACTAAAATGTGTTTCAATCCTATCATGATAAACTTAATTTTTAAGATTTAAGGAAAGAAATATATTCAATGACTTAAAACGTTGATTAAAACTTAAAATCTACAGTAAACTTTTAAGTTAGTCTCTAGAAAAGGGGGGGTCAAAAGATACTCTTAGTCTTAACCCCCCCCCCCCTCAACTTCATAATTCTTGTTCCTTCTACATTAAGGGAGAAAAATTTGGATCTGGTATTGAGAAGCATGAAATAACCGTCTTAGCACCATGAACTCCAGAAAGAGGCAGAACACCGGAGCCTAACTCATATGAAGACGAACTCCCCGAGTATCCCAAATATCTAGTTAGATTCGAGCTCAGAGCCATAAACCAAAGAATTGCATTATCTCAGAAGGGTTCAAGAGGGCGTCTACACTCATCGAGGTTATGTAAAGGTGCTATTTAGTTTGAACGATTGACTTCTTGAACTTATTGCACGTGGTACCACGTGTAGTAGTTCCAGCGACCAATAGTTCAAGCGATAATGTTCCGTGCGCATTTGAACTAAAAAAAAAAGTTCAATTGAGCCGAAAATATATAGTTAAAATGAACAAACAAAGTAGTTCAAATGAGCCAAAAAATAGTTCAAATGAGTAAAAAATAGTTCAAATTAGCCAAAAACTTGTTCAAATAAGCAAAAATAGTTCAAATAAGCAAAACATAGTTCAATTAAGCAAAATAGTTCCAATGAGCCAAATAATAGTTCAAATGAGCAAAACTATGGTCAATGAGTAATAAAATAGTTCACAATGAGAAAAATCATTGTTCAAATGAGCCAAAAAATAGTTGACCAATACTTGATCGGCCCCCTAGCCTGTCAGCTAGCCGCATATAAGTTCTCAACATTTAACACCCCGCCCTATCAAAGATTATTATGTGTGTCTGTTTTAGAGAAAGGGATGTTAAAATCATTATATCAGGGGTTTTGGTTTTCACCCGTTAAGTTGTTAAACTATTCTTGTTGGAAAAGTCTTTTTTTAAGCTATAATATTGACTCCGAATTATTGCATATTATCTCTGATTATACCCAGATATTTTCAAGTCATTTGTTCAGTGGTAAGCGTTTATATCACTACAATGAAGACTTCTTTTTAGTTGAGTTTTTATTGTTAACAAGCTTTTTTAGAATTAAAAGTTTACAAGTAATCAAAGAGAAGCTTTTTTAATTGACAGTTTCTCTTTACTTGTATGTTTAAGTGTATCCATGCTGTTTAACAGCTTGATTTGAATCAAAATTGAATTCAACAGTCGTCTTCATTGTATTAATATAATCGCCTACCACTGTAATAAAGATATGTTATTTTTATATTTGTATTTGCTGAAATGTTATATTCGTCTGAAATTTGAGACAGGTTCATCCAAATAGATTATCAAATATACAATAGGTGGCAACAGAGAAATTAACCAATTATACACTACGTCACAAGTTTCAAATATAACAAGGAAAACGAAATTTTCTCAAATTAGTTGACATGTTTTCCAAGATTAAATAAAAAAGTGTAAAAACTGAAACTAAAGAACACATACAATTGCACTTATTTTAATGTAAGAAAAGCACTTTATTCTAAAATTATCACTATTATTGATAATTTTGTCGGACACAAAAACTGAATTGACACTTGTGACGACAGAATACAACTGTACTGCGAGTGTACAAATTCTATGTTGCCATCTATTGTACTAGAATCTATTTGGGTTCATCTGGTTGATTTAGGGATAAGAAAATTAGATTTAGAGACGTGTAACTGGCCTATATGTTTGTTTAAGAAGTATCAATTCTAATTTGTCTAAAATCAAAACGATTTAAAGAATTTTCAGATCACATTGTGGATAATACTGATGTGGGAACTTATATTAGCATAATTTATTATTCATAGGGTAGGATGTAATTTTTACTTTTATTGCTTTCTTACAAGGTAATATATGGATAAACGCGGATGGATAGATTAGATCTAGAGAGAATCAAGAAAAAAAACCCGAATTTTAACTCGATCATTTTTCTTTAATCTTTTTAGTTAAAGACTATCAATCCATCAGTGTTTTAGGGACATTCTATACTAACCACATGTCAACTCTGTAAAATTTTTAATTAACAGAAGTATCTTGTGATTGGCTGGCTTTCAGTGTTACTGTTTAAATTGCATAAATTTGCGAATATTTATTTTTCGCGCCAAACTGCGTCTTCGGCGCGAACAAGTGAGTGCGATAAAATTCCGCTAAATGTACAGTGAATCCCAGATATATGAATACATATAGACCGTCATAAGTTTTTTAATAATTCTAAAGAACCTTCTTCTTATTTTTAATTCAAGGTAAATTAATATCCCTGTAATTGATATATTAATATCACTTTTGCTATGTATTCCTATATCGGGAATTCACTGCAGTTTAAAACAATCTGACGTTTTAAATCGTACTTTATCTACGTTTAATGATGAAGAAGGTTTTGATGATATCTAATTAGTGTTGCATTAAAAATGTGTTTTACGATCAATAATGTTATGCTAAGTATTTTGACACTAGGATCCAGATCTGTAGATCCTCGTACGTGTTTTTGCGGCTCCTTTGCGGATCACAAAAATCTGGATCCTAATCCCTATATAGGACTGGACTAGATTAGAACAGTCGTCATTGAATTCTAAAATCTTAAACATAGAGCACTTTTTTGATTAAAAATAATCAGATTCACTTTGCACCAGTTCTTAAGTTTTCTTGCATACAGTTTAAAAAAAAGTACATAGCTTTTTTAATTTCCTAACTCATTCAGATATTAGCTTTTTGTTAAAATCAAATCACTAATGTAAGCCAAAAAAATCGTCGTCAAAATATAAAAATAGACTTATTGAAATACTGAGTTAAGAAACGTTAGGGTAGTAAAATTCCCTCAACAATTCAGCAAATGATCAAGAAAAAAAACTTTTTGAAAGATATTTGTCTCGTATCGAAAAGACTTATTTTTTAGCCTTAGATAGCACTTCTAAAACGGACAAATGAACGATATTCAGCGGCTTAAGGATCACCCATATCAACAAGCTTTAAAAATATTTTGAAAACGACCTTCCCTTTGAATCCTTTTCTTTTAAATCGTCAATTACTGAATGAGTTTTTTATTTATTTCTTCATTTTTTTTCTTTTATGTATAACTTTCTGCTAGTGCAAAAAGGATTTGACATTATTGATAACTTAGTTTCACCCAATCTAATCCTTTTTTGTAAAACCCTGTAGAGTGTGCGTAGGGGGGGGGGATGCATGCCACACCAGTATAGCTTCCATCCCCCCAATTTACTCATGGAACAACAAAGACTCGCGGCAAAGCGCTCAACCGCAGCACTTCCTTAGCCTGCACACCCATATGTCTTCCGGTAAAATGTTTTTACTTTTGAATGCTTATTTAACAGGAATGCAGCATTAATTTCTTATTTATTTTGGTAATATAAGTAAACAATCTCGCTCACTGGAGCAAAAGTTGTTAAATGTTTTTAAAAACTGTGATTAATTGCGATTTCCTCCTAAAATGTAATATTTTGTGCATTTGGGCAGATATTAATCTTCTCCAAAAATGTTTTTGAAGGCAAGGAGAAATTCAATCTTTACCAAAAATAACGCAGTTTTGCGTGCGATTTAGTTTTAAATTATCTAAAATCAGATTGATAGATAGATAGACAGATAGATTTAGATAATTTAAAGCCGAATTGCACGCAAAACTGTGTTATTTCAAGTAAAATTTGATTTTCTCTCTTTCTTCAAATACATTTTAGAGAAGAATAACATCAGCCCACATCAAAACATGGGTGTGGCTAAGGAAAATATTTGAGTGAGCGTGAGTAAATAGTGGGATGGAAGCTATACGGGTGTGGCTTGCCTTCCCCCTCTCGTGTACGGTGCGAGTGTAGCCTTCATAAAAGTTACTCAACTATATTTGATCTTAAATGAACTTTAAAATTCTCTAAATTTTCGTCTGTTTAAAACCACGGATTAAGTTTTAAACAAAATATATTTTAGAAATATTTTCCATATTTAATAAATCCTCTTAACCAGAGCAGTCTGTTGTAGAATAGTTCTATATACAGATATATATTAGACATGTTCATGTAGAATTGTACAACATGTGTACGGTGAATACATTTAAAGGGAGTGTTCGCTGAAAATGAAAGGGGGTTAGGTTGAATGTTGATACCTATTCGCAAAGAAACAGTTTTGTAATCATTTCTCTTAAGAGATATATCAGGTAAAATTGGTAGAGATCTAATCTGAATAGAATATTTAACAACTAACCCCACATTTCATTTTCCGCAAACAATCTCTTTAAACAAAAAGGTTTTCACCCAATTTCTTAAAAAATATTGAGAGACAAATTCTTTTATTCCATAAATCGAAGAAATAATCCAAATAAGAATCTTGAAAATTACCTAAACGGTTAACAAAACCAGTTTTGCTTTGCAAATATTATGCTAAATAAATTTTAATAATCTGAGTGTTAATGTAAAGATATGTATATATATATATATAAATCTGTTCCTGAATGATTTTATGATAAGATTACAAATGGTATTGCTGTCGGGAACCTCGGAGATAAAATCACAAATCTCCTAAATACAAAATTCAATTAAAAAAATAAAAATGTCGAAATTTTGCTTTTGCTAGAAAATATCAAATCAAATGTGATTATAATTTGGTATTTTATACCTTTTTCTGATACTGGATACTGGATAGTATATAATATACATCTTTAAATCTTGTATTCTATATCGTTGTCTGTTGCCGATATATATATATAGTCTGATATTCTATAAATTTGTCTGGTATTGGATCTTTATTTACATTTTAAAAAATATATATATATAGTCTGGTATTCTTTACCTTTGTCTGGTACTGGATATATATATAGTCTGGTATTCTATACCTTTGTCTGGTACTGGATATATATATATAGTCTGGTATTCTATACCTTTGTCTGGTACTGATCTGATGTCATATCGTAGTTAGCTGGTGATGAATATCCTGCAAGACTACTGCTACTCAAACACATTCTAATAATAACATTATTTATTGGAAGGGCATTTTCTTTATTTCCAAACTCATTCAATTCTTTCTGGGTAGGTTAATTCACAAATGCAAGCAAATTCTTTTCGCCAGAATAAATCATATTATTGTTTTAATTTTAGCAGACCTTGAAGCCGTAAAATTGTGTTAAAAATTTAACAATTATTTGGCTCAAGTACAGAAATTCCCCCATCCAAAAAAAATAGAATATTCATTGGCCTCAGTTATGCCAGAACCCAACTCTTATCCTATTTAAAAACATGTTCATGTTCATGTTCATGTTCATGTTCATGTTCATGTTCATGTTCATGTTCATGTTCATGTTCATGTTCATGTTTGGTTAAAGTATTTACAGTTTAATCCAAAACTTTGGAGACATCAAAAGAGTTTATATAATGTCATTTTCTATACCAACTGAAAATGGCATGTGGGAAATATTTAGTTTTTAATTGAATAATTATAGGGAGCTCTTTAAAACTATTTCCGCATATTTAATGGCTTTCTATGTATCTTTACATTTACGTATAATAGTAAAAAAATTGTCAAGACATTATTTAAATTCTTTCGATGTCTCCGAAGTTCTTGGTTAAACTATAGAAAAATCTATATATTTTACCTCCCCGCCTGCAGCAGTAAAGATACAACATCTTCTGTAAGAGGAGGGAAAGCCTGACACACCCTGTCAACAAAGTAATCAAATTATTCATAAATTTTTATTATTTTTTTCTAGATGATGAATGTAAACCCCTGGATCTAAATGATAAATATTTACTCCCGGTTTTATAAGATAAATATTTACCCCTGATTCTAGATGATAAATATTTACCCCTGGTTCTAGATGATAAATATTTACCCCTGGTTCTAGATGATAAATATTTACCCCTGGTTCTAGATGATAAATATTTACCCATGGTTCTAGATAATGAATATTTACCCATGGTTCTAGATAATAAATATTTACCCATGGTTCTAGATGATAAATATTTACCCCTGGTTCTAGATGATAAATATTTACCCCTGGTTCTAAATAATAAATATTTACCCCTGCTTCTAGATGATAAATATTTACCCCTAGTTCTAGATGATAAATATTTAACCCTGGTTCTAGATGATAAATATTTACCCATGGTTCTAGATGATAAATATTTACCCCTGGTTCTAGATGATGAATATTTACCCCTGGTCCTAGATGATAAATATTTACCCCTGGTTCTAGATGATGAATATTTACCCCTGGTTCTAGATGATAAATATTTACCCCTGGTTCTAGATGATAAATATTTACCCCTGGTTCTAGATGATAAATATTTACCCCTGGTTCTAAAGGCTAATTTAGAATATGTCAGAGACAGAGAGATGTTTGTGGTTTAATAACAACACATTAAAGGAAATGTTTCATAAGTTACAAAAGATGAGATAAGGAAGAATTCAGATTAAATTAATAAAAGGTTGTAGAAAAATTGTTTTAGAAAAATAGAACGCTCATACCCCCCCCCCCCCTCCTCTAATTTTGTTTTTATACATCATTTCCTCCCCAGAGAGGGAGGAGGGTGGGGCGATGTAAATGAAAAAATGCTAGAATTTTTTTTGTCTTTTTATACGAAATGAAATAAAATAAATTAAATATTTCTTTTGTGAATAAAAATAAAATAAAATGTTTATTTTTAATGTTTGAGTGTTGGGAGTGTAGGATACAATATCTGGTGATATGACATTGGGGAAATTAACACAACAAAAGAAAAAGAAAAAAAATACAGATACAACAACATTTGTAATAAAATTTTTAGACGACAATATCATATTTATCAAATAAAACAAATCTCAAGGGGATATTATACATAAATATCAACCACAGTCTTTAAATTACTTTTTAATTCTTGATTTCACAAAAGTTGTTTTTGACTCTCCTTCAATCACAAGTGATTTGTGAAAGAAAATAACCTTCCATGACAGGTTGACACTGTGTATATCCTACCATGACAGGTTGACACCGTATATATCCTACCATGACAGGCTGACACCTTGTATATCCTACTATGACAGGTTGACACTGTGCATATCCTACCATGACAGGTTGACACCTTGTATATCCAATCATGACAGGCTGACACCTTGTGTATCCTACCATAACAGGTTGACACTGTGTATATCCTACCATGACAGGTTGACACTGTGCATATCCTACCATGACAAGCTGGCACCTTGTATATCCTACCATGACAGGTTGACACTGTGCATATCCTACCATGACAGGCTGACACTTTGTATATCCTACTTTGACAGGTTGACACTGTGTATATCCTACCATGACAGGTTGACACTGTGTATATCCTACCATGACAGGCTGACACTATGTATATCCTACCTTGACAGGTTGACACTGTGCATATCCTACCATGACAGGTTGACACTGTGTATATCCTACCATGACAGGTTGACACTGTGTATATCCTACCATGCAAGTTGACACTTTGTATATCCTACCATGACAGGGTGACACTGTGCATATCCTACCATGACAGGCTGACACCTTGTATATCCTACCATGACAGGTTGACACTGTGCATATCCTACCATGACAGGCTGACACCTTGTATATCCTACTTTGACAGGTTGACACTGTGTATATCCTACCATGACAGGTTGACACTGTGTATATCCTACCATGACAGGCTGACACTATGTATATCCTACCTTGACAGGTTGACACTGTGCATATCCTACCATGACAGGTTGACACTGTGTATATCCTACCATGACAGGTTGACACTGTGTATATCCTACCATGACAGGCTGACACTATGTATATCCTACCTTGACAGGTTGACACTGTGCATATCCTACCATGACAGGTTGACACTGTGTATATCCTACCATGACAGGTTGACACTGTGTATATCCTACCATGACAGGCTGACACTATGTATATCCTACCTTGACAGGTTGACACTGTGCATATCCTACCATGACAGGTTGACACTTTGTATATCCAATCATGACAGGCTGACACCTTGTGTATCCTACCATAACAGGTTGACACTGTGTATATCCTACCATGACAGGTTGACACTGTGCATATCCTACCATGACAAGCTGGCACATTGTATATCCTACCATGACAGGCTGACACCTTGTATATCCTACCATGACAAGCTGGCACATTGTATATCCTACCATGACAGGCTGACACTTTGTACATCCTACCATGACAGGTTGACACTGCATATCCTACCATGAAAAGCTGGCACATTGTATATCCTACCATGACAGGCTGACATCTTGTATATCCTACCATGACAGGCTGATACCTTGTATATCCTACCAAGACAGGCTGACACCGTATATATCCTACCATGAAAGGCTGATACCTTGTATATCCAATCATGACAGGCTGACGCCTTGTATATCCAATCATGACAGGCTGACACCTTGCATATCCTACCATGACAGGATGACACCTTGTTTATACTATCATGACAGGGTGAAACCTTGTATATCCTACCATGATAGGCTGACACCGTATATATCTACCATGACAGGCTGACCCATTGCATATCCTATCATGACAGGCTGACACCTTGTATATTCTATCTTGACAAGCTGACACCTTGTATATCCTATCTTGACAAGCGGACACATTGTATCCTAACATGACAGGCTGACACCTTGTATATCCTACCATGACAGGCTGACACCTTGTATATCCTCATGACAGGCTGACACCTTGTATATCCTACAATGACAAGGAGTGACCGCCAGTGTATGGTGGATAAACTGAGATTGCAGTATTGCAGAGAAATTCTTTAGAATTCATTTGAGACATATAAAACGTGTTAAAGATCTAAAATTACTGATTTTGAGCGCGAAGTCCACGTTCAAAATTATCTTTTTGGTGGATACGTTTTGAGAACCGTTTTTTAAATTATTAAATAACGACGACAAAAGATGTTACAAAATTCTACAGCAAGCAAATTAGTTGTTTAGAAACAGGTTGAGAAAATGAAAATCAACCCTTATCATTTGTAGAAATCTGCGAACAATTTCATAAAAAATAAGAATTTCAATAAAATGATGAAAACAAAATAATTGATTCTAACATTGATTTCTTGACAAGTTTATTATGAGAAATATGTTTCTAAATATCTAATTAGTTTACTATAGAATTTACTATATTTTTTTTGTCGTCGTTATTTAATAATTAAAATAAGCAATTCTCAAAACGTACTTTCTACCCAAAAATACGATCTCGAACGATGACTTTGCGCTCAAACTCAGTAATTATACATCGTTGAAACGTTTTTTATGTCTCAAATGAATCCTTAAGAATTTGTCCACAATACTACATAGTACATACTCAGTTAAACTAACTTACATAGACGCTCGCTCGCTCTAATGTATATCCTAACCTAAAACCGTTTACAATGTATATCCTATCCTGACACCATGTATTTTAGTGACAAGTCAAATCAAATCAAATCATAATCTCATACTATGTAAGTATGCTCCAGAAAAAGTTTAACTTGACTTTGATTTTTTCATTACATTTGGTTTAGGGTTATTTTTCCATGACACTCGTTGTATTTAGTGAATAATGTGTAGGCTACCCTGACATCAATGTGAAGTGTTAACTGTATGATATATACCCTATCCGGAACTCCAAAGTATATAATGTGCATATCATATACAATAAATTTTCCACCTATACCCTGTATACTAGTATATGATAGTATATACTACATCCTCTAAAACGTATATTTTACCTCTCCATGGCAGGTAGAGTAGAGATGATCAGCTCCTCCCTAGTCTGTGAGTGAAGGACGGAGAGCAGCGTGGAAACAGAGTTGACCGCTAATCTTGCAGCACTCAGGGACTTAGGCAGGGAGTACTGGACACTTAGCTGGGAGATTAGATCAATAGCAAACACCTTATTAAGATCAGATTAAATCAATCAAATTAAAACAAATCACAATCAAACCACAATCAAATTAAAACAAATACAATCAAATCACAATCAAATCACAATCAAATCACAATCAAATCACAATCAAATCACTATCAACACAATCAAATCACAATCAAATCCCAATCGAAATCACAATCAAATCCCAATCAAATCACAATCAAATCCCAATCAAAGCACAACCAAATCACAATCAAATCACAACCAAATTACAATCAAATCACAATCAAATCACAATCAAATCACAATCAAATCGCAATCAAATCGCAATCAAATCACTATCAACACANAAATCAAATCAAATCAAATCAAAAAAAAATCAAACCAAACCGTGTACAGTATAAATGGTGGTGTACACTATGACCCCACCTATTTCATAGTACAGTATAAATGGCAGTGTACACTATGACCCTACCTGTTCATCTAGTGCAGGTTGTGAGAGAAGTTCTAAGCCCAAAACTTAAGACAGGGTATCCTTATGAAAACCAGTTTTGGAACCCGGGTTTCACAAATGGGTTTACCCAGTTTTGTAGATATCGATATTTTTGTTTTGAAATATTATTTTATTTAATCCTTTATATCCTACCATTTTTATCAAATCTCTTAAATCAAAATCTACACAAATAATAAGACCCCAAAAAGGAAACTCGGAAGTTTCATTCAACGATACTCTCTTAAATTTCAGGCTCTGGAGCAAAGTGTACATTGTACACCATAAATGGCGGTGTACACTATGACCCTACCTGTTCATCTAGTGCAGGTTGTAAGAGTAGTTCCGGAGCAAAGTGTACATTGTACAGTATAAATGGCGGTGTACACTATGACCCTACCTGTTTGTCTAGTGATGGTTGTGAGAGAAGTTCTGGAGCAAAATCCAGACAAATATGCATAGAAGGAACTCCAGCCACACAAACAGGTACTAACGAGGTAGGATACCCCTGAATAAAAGGTGATTTTCAAAAATGTCGCCCATAGGTAGAACTAAGATGGGAAAATAGGGATTTTTTTTCTTAACTGTACTAGGACTGCTAAACAATTACAAACAATGATTTCACAAGTCCAGCCCACCAACTCTGCTAAAATTTTGTTAACAATACTTGTATTTGTAGTCAAAATAAATCAAAGTTAAATGCACAACCTTCAACCCCCAATATCTTAGTTCTTCACACATTAGAAAGAATGAGAAAAATCTAAGTTTCAATGATGTTTACCTGGAAGTGAACTAGTTTAGCAAGATTAGGATCCGCTATAAATGCTTCATGAAGGTAGCAGCAGATTAAAGATTGTATCTCCTGTAGAGCAGTCAGCTGGGAGCATCCACCAGATGCAGCTCCTCCGCCAGCTTTAGAAGCAGCTTTCTCCTCAGCAGTTTCAACACAGGATTCGAGGAGGATTTGAATAGCAGCACTTTCCTAAAATAGAAAACATCGAAAATGATTTAAAATTAATGGAAAAGTCTGATTTCACTGTAAATAAAGAGTTATTTAACAAGGAAACTGTGCTCTGTTGGAGGTCATGATTTCCCAAACTGGGTTGGCTTATAGATCACATACATTGATTAATTGACAAAAATAATTCATGCTCCACATTGATATCTCCCATCATCTCCAAAAATTTTAAAAATCATTACTTTTATGGAAATTTTAAAAATCTTCTTTCTTTGAATTAATGCGTTCAAACCAATATTACCCAAAATAGATCAAATCAAATCAAATCAAATGAGATGGATGAAGCGAATTGTTTGGTAAGACTTTGAGACCTTATAGCCCCTCTACACCCACGTTAAACAAGAAAACATAAAAGATCGCTGATGATGTCAAAACCACTTTAGTCTAATAAAAAAAGTTTTGGTTGAAAATTTACAATATTTAAAACTTTTATTTCCAAATATTACCTGCGTGAGAACTAAAGCATTCTTTAAAACCCCTACTGCACAGTTTTTTTTGAGACACCCTGTATATATATATATAAATTCTAAATATTTACCAATAAATGCTGACTGAGTCTGGTTCTTGAAGCTGCTAGGCAGGCCTTTAACATATACAGGACTATTGACAGGATTGGACCTAAAATACAAACATAGTTAATATTGGAACACACTGTAACTGTAATATAAGTGTAAAAGTAACGCAATGTACAGTAGTACATTTGTACAGTTACTGTACATTTGTACTACTGTACTACTGTACTTTTGTTCTACAGCTGCAGCTGTGAGCGGAATATTAACACAATAAAAGACGACTTTTTATTTTGGTCTTAGTTTATATACCTGACAGTGTAGTGTAGCTAGAGGGTCTAGTGATAGTTCTAAACCATATATATTTATATATACCTGATCTAAATACTGCCTGATGACAGCGTAGTGTAGCTAGAGGGTCTAGTGATAGTTCTAAACCATATATATTTATATATACCTGATCTAAATACTGCCTGATGACAGCGTAGTGTAGCTAGAGGGTCTAGTGATAGTTCTAAACCATATATATTTATATATATACCTGATCTAAATACTGCCTGATGACAGCGTAGTGTAGCTAGAGGGTCTAGTGATAGTTCTAAACCATATATATTTATATATACCTGATCTAAATACTGCCTGATGACAGCGTAGTGTAGCTAGAGGGTCTAGTGAAAGTTCTTCTTGTGTAAGGGAGGGGGATACAACAACATCCTGCAGTTATTAATTGATCGATTGGTAAATATCAATTGACAATAAATATTAACTTATCTATATAATAATTCTCTTTGCTCATATATTTATATTATAATTATTTGTAAATATGTTAGCTTTAGCTGGCCAAACGGCTGGATCGAATGGGCTGAAATTTATTGAGGGAACCTATGGATTCCCGCGGAAGTAAAATAGAGGAAAAAAATTTGAAAATATTTTTTTTTTCAACGCTGGGCACTTCAGCTAGAGTATCTAATAATTTAAATAACATGTATTTCCAATTATTAATAATTTTGAAGACTTGACTTAACTACTTTAGAGAAAAAATAGCAAAGAATATTAAAGTTTAACTGTATTTTAGCTTGTAAAAAGGGTGGAGTATTGGAAAAATTAAGTCTCTTTTAATTCCTGTGAGAAATCAAATACATAATTCATAATAACCCCCTTCAAATCAAATGAAGAAGCCGGGGATTGTCCAACATCTACCCGAGGTATGTCATCACAATCCCTATCAGATCAATGCTTTTCAGTCTGACACAGTTAAAGCAAAACGTTAAATCAAATCAAATCATACTTTGCAGGGATGGCTTAGGGCTCCTAAACGGAGGGTGGGAGTTTCAAATCTTGGCCACATCCGGGTTTTCAGCCCGATCTCTACCAATAAATTGTCGTTTTGTTTTTAAAGCTAAAGGAGGTAAGGACTATCTGTGTCAGCGGTGGCACCATTTTATTAAGAGAGAAGAGAAACATAAGAATTTCAACAGAATTTATTTGGCGCTATCCGCGACAGAGTTTTCAGATATAAGTTTCAAGGGTATTGTTGTGATTCAATAGGGCAGTACTAATTTATCTAGGCTATCAATCTCTTTCATAATACTGAAATACATAAATCAAATACAAATAATTCAAATTTGTAAGTTGTGTATTCTTGTTTTCTACTTGATAAATCAAACTTAACTTGACATATTCCCAAAAATAGAGATAAATATTAATACTAACTTTAGGACTCAGATTATTTACAGTAAGCAGCCATAACTTACGGGGATACAAGGAGTTAAGGACCATCCATACAGATCTAAACATAATACAGAGTTTAGGACCATCCATACAGATCTAAACATAATACAGAGTTTAGGACCATCCATATAGATCTAAACATAATCTAGAACCATCAATAATGATAAGAATGAAACTATAGATTAAGTCAAAGAATGAAAACTGTAAAATACAAATAAAGTTGAAATGATTTGTTAAATCCTGAATAATCTAAAAATAACGGATTTTCAAAGCATCAAGAATCAGCTAATTAATTTAGATGATTTGATGCTCTATTCAGTTTGATTTCTATAGTTTTAATTTCTGCATTTTATCTAGAATGTTTTTGAAATGTGAATAGCCAGTAATTAGTGATGTAGACGACAATTAACAAGGAAAATTAACTAAAAAAAACACCATATGATATTATTAAAGGTATAACAAATAATACTTCAAACACTGATATAACTTGTTCCATGATTTTATCCCAAACTTGGAAAAAGAAGTATTTCTGTTATTTCAAATGAAAACCATGAATGTTTTACAGAATTATTTTAACAACTTAAAATCTCAATTTTACATGTACAGTTCCTACTGAAATATTACTTTTCTGGGTACAATATATAATAAATATATATACAGTACAGTTCCTGTACAATTCTTGGTATGATATGTACTAAAAATATTACCTGTAGAGTTCCTGTACATGTCTGGGTACAGTATCTACTGATATATCCAGAATTCTACGGATAAAAACATCAACCAGCTCCCAAGCTTTATTCGGTGAGAGATCTAAAAAAGACATGAAATAAAATACGCTCTGCCTTGTCCTCTACCCCATAGTTCTTCTGGACCTCAACCTTCCGTGATTTGATTATTATAAATTAGGTTAGGTTAAGATATCTAGAAGTTATGTTAATCCTTTTCAGAAGAACGGGTCACGGAACAATAACATTTAAGAAGAAATGATCATACCTTCTTTCTTATTCTTGTTATTGGTAATTATTTTTTGTCTTTAAATGTAAATAACAAAAATATTTGTATTTTTATTTACACAAAACATGGCCATTTACGTTTTTATTTCATTAATTTTTAAAATCCCATTCTTTTTGGAAAAAATATTAATCATTTATAAATTTTCGCTTTTTTATGGACTTCATTACCTAGCATTAGCTGGAGGGCTAGAACAGCTTTAGCTGGACACCTGGAGACAGATTTAAGAGATTTCTCCAGGAATTTAGAACTTAGTTTACCCTTAAACCCACACCTTACTCCACTAGTACTCTCAACCCTAGCAATATTAGATAGATTTATATCAGTGGGATCTTGACAGGCTACATTTGTTGCAAAAAACGTGCTGGGTCGACTCTACACTTGGTACTAGTCCAGACTGGACCGTACGACTGAATGCATATACAGTACCTGGGAACAACACATACTGAACAGGCATTGTCCAGTCCGGATACCCAGTGTAGAGCGGAACCAGCAACGTTATATTTAACAAATGCAGCCTGACAAGATCATAATGATATACAAGATAGGTTCCAGTATAAAATTATAACACTGTCAAATTAGATAGATATCAGATAAAAACTGTTTTGATTAGATGGATATTGGATAAAACAATGGCTATTTTAGATAACTATAAGATAAAACAATGGTTATTTTAGATTACTATAAGATAAAACAATGGTTAGTTTAGATGGATATTAGATAATGGTTAGATTAGATTAATGTTAGATAGAACAATGGTTAGATTAGTTTAGTAAATAGAAAAATAGTTAGATTAGATAGATAGAACAATGGTTAGATTAGTTAAGTAAATAGAAAAATAGTTAGATTAGATGGACATTAGATTAGATTGATGTTAGATAAAACGATTAATTGATTATATAGATATTAGAAACAACAATAGATCGATCAGATAAATATTAGATAAAACAATTGAATACCTAATCCAATTTTTTACAAAGCTAAGTTGTATGGAAGAGGGGGGGGTTGAATACCTGATCCAATCTTCTACTAAACAAAGGTGTGGAGGGGTGAATACCTGATCGAATCTTCTACTAAACAAAGATGTGGATCAGGGAGGAAGGAGTGGGGTGGAATACCTGATCCAATCTTCTACTAAGCAAAGGTGTGGATCAGGGAGGGGAGTGGGGTGGAATACCTGATCCAATCTTCTACTAAGCAAAGGTGTGGATCAGGGAGGGGGGAGGAGGGTGAATTCATTAATTTATTTATTATGGCAACCCTAAAACCGCGAATGGAGTTAGACATCATACCTGATCCAATCTTCTACCAAACAAAGGTGTGGGAAATGTGTAGCACAGAGTTTAAGAAGACTGGGGAACATCCCCTGCAGCTGGGCCTGTTTATTTTCAGCAGCAGCCAGCAGGAACTTGACAGGCAGCTCAGCCAGCAGCTCAGCTGAATACTTACAAACCTAAGGTTAAATTTGTTTTATTTTTTATGTCTTTATAGCGCACTTAATCAATTCTCATTTCTCTGTGCCAGGAAACAAACAAAAAAAATCCTCCAATTCAAAAGTTATCGCTATGGATTCGAGTTAAGTCGTGGTTGCTAAGCACTATCACAACAATCCTTGGACCTGGTATTATTAAGTAATTACGTAATCTGGAATTCAAAGAATATATCTGATTAGTCATCATTAGAATTAGAAGAAACGACGAGAGAGCAATTAGAAAATAATGCTAAGAGTAAAATGCATAAGAGAAAAAGTCGAGCTAGTAGTGTTGGGAATTCAAATTTCCCTCACGAGGATTATACTTTTCTATGTGATATTTATATTGTATAAATCCTAATCTTCGTGCAATAAATATTTGATTTGATTTGATTTGATTTTAGTCCAATTACAAGAATAGAAATAAGAGTGAAAGATATGAGAAACTTTTAGGGTTGATCTTCGGAGTTGTTCTCAGATCAAGTAGCCCTAATTAACTTAATTCATGAGCCTGAAAACCCCTAGTCACCGTGAAGTACAACGGTGTAGCTCGGCGTAAGCGGCTACACTTCCAGTCCAACAATCTCATTATTAACTCAAGAATACTTTCTTCAGACATTTTAGAAAATTCTATTTAGTTACATCATATTATTGCAATTAAATATATACGCGCCTAATATTTTCAAATATTACAATTATTACCTTTCTTCCAGTTGAGAGAATATTCTTCATGTTGGCTAACCGTACATCCTCGTACAACAGTACATAGTACAGTACACAGATCTGTACACACAAACTATCCTCAGCTGTACTCTCACCCCTGTACAATACAATAATGTAAAACATGCATTGTACAATAACAATTTTAATACCAATAATAGCCGGGGTCCATTGTTTGAAAAGTAAAATTGACAAACTTTTTGTGAATACCGGTAGCTCATTTGCAGTACATGAATGAAGCTATGTTGGTAATTTCTGAACATATATATATCTCAAGCGAACTATACTCCTGTTCACTTGTTTCATTTTATTATTGATATTTTCATTCTTTATAAAAAATAAAGGATTAATTTTAGGACGTTTCATTTAGAGGTTTAGGAAGGTTTAGTGAATTTGATGTCAATTTCAATTTATCTTACGAAAACCAAATGTAGAAAAAGAAATTTAATGATAAAACTGAGCCCAGATGTGAGAAGGGACGAGAGGTAGTTGACCTACATAGACAGAGTTGAACCACTACTCCAAGTTGAGGAGAAGTTGATTTTAGTCTACGTAGTTCAACTACGTCTCTCTTTTTAACAGATTTATTTTAAAATATGGGCTTTAATAACATACATGTCAATAAAACTTTTTCATCGTGCAAGTTTTTCATCTATCTTTTCAATACGAACTATAAAAATGTTCTGTTCGTCGTATAGATAAAAAATTATAGCGAAGATTTAAAATTTGTATAGAGTTGATTGCACTTAAAAAATGGAGTTCCTTACAATCGGGTTGACTACTTCGTTAACCATATCACGGTTGGAGGGGGGGGAGGGGGGTCCCCCCCCCCCGGGTTTACTCTGTATGGCTTACATTAGAACGCTAAAACAAAATTTTTTTGTTGTTGATGCATAGGGTAGGGTGGAGAATGGTCAATCGGCGGGTCGGTGTTTAAAAAAAATCAAAAATGGTTAAGAACTTTTTTATTAATTAAGCTACAGGAACTTATATATTTTAAAAAGGCCTTAAAAAATGGATATAATAACATGTGTCATATGTTAATATTTGTTAAAAGTAAAAATAATTATGTTTAAAATTTTTTTTCCGACAAACTTTTTGAACTTATAAAAAATCCTCCCTTACTCCTTAACCATTAAAGTTAGAGGTCTAATTTTTTTAATGAGCAGACCTTGAAAAGTTGGGCTAGGGACATGTATCACACTCCCCTATATCAACTCTAAGGGCAAAATCAAAGTGTGGGGGGAAATACCCCCCCCCCCCATATCTATATTAGACAAAACTAGCCCAATCGGAATAGGGTTAAGCGACTATAAAAGTAACCCTGATAAAATGACAAGTCCAATTCACAACAATACCCTTAAAAGTTTTGTCCATCAAGAGTGTTAGATATCCATGTTTTTGTTTTTTGAAAACTGATAATTTTCATCTGTGATTTCTTTTCAGAGGTAACTTGCGCATTTCTTGCTTCAGAAATAACGGAAAAATAAATAAAGGTTTCAAGGGTACCGTTGTGGATCGGGAATGCCCCTATTTTTAGATGTTGGGTCATTTGAAATTATTTCTACTGTCCCTTTAAGCTAAGCTGACCTTTGTCTGGTTGGTCTAGATCCCCTGCTAGTGGGCTGTGTTGAGGATCTGCTGGAGTATGGGACTGATTTATAGGTTGGAGTAGCTCCGGAGAGGGTGGGGTTTACTCCAGGTATACTGTCGATCACAACCTTTAAAGGAATTGAGTTGTGATTATGAATTCATCTTCCATTAATTTTTTCATTTTTATTTTTAATTTACTAGATATTTGCATTTGCAACTATTATTTTATGTTTACTTCTGCACTGATAAAGTATATACATTTTTGCGTGGAAATATTGAAAGTTTATACGTTTTTAACATAGACCATCATTGCAGATTTAAAAAAGTAAATTGCCATCATTGCAGATTTAAAAACTAAATTGCCATCATTGCAGATTTAAAAACTAAATTGCCATCATTGCAGATTTAATAAAATAAAATTGCCATCATTGCAGATTTAAAAAATGAATTGCCATCATTGCAGATTTAAAAAATAAAATCGCCATCATTGCAGATTTAAAAACTTAATTGTTTCTTAAAAATAAAATATCTGAACAAATAAATATTCAATGATAATATTTTTGCTTTAACAATTAATGACATGAAAGCTCAATAAATTGATAAAGTTATATACATGGTTGGAATATTGACCTGTGAGAATATTTCTCTAATCTCCTGTTCCGTCAATGGTTGATTTAGTTGATCACCGATAGCGATTCTAGAAATACTTTATTATCATCTTTTTCTTTATTTTACAATCAAAAGGTACCCATCTTGAAATATTTATTATACATGATATAAAGAGACCAGCAGAAAAATCACAGCAGTTAATTTGGACGCAAATTAGGATTTATTGCACTTTTCTGATCCTTAGATCTTTGTTACCTGATGTCGTAGACCTTTTGCTATGTTGAACTAAGAATTCTGCTAAATCTATGTTTAAGTTTTAAATATCAAAGGCTTACTTACAACATCAGGTTTGCAAAGATGAATTAAATAGAAAATTTCTTTTATGGAGACAAAGCATGAAAAAGTCAGCAAAATAAAAAAGATAAATATTTTAATATTTAATGTCCACCCTTTTTATTTATTTATTATGGCAACACTAAAGCCACGACAGGTATTAGACATCACGCCCGTCAGCACATTCCTAGCTAAATAATACACGGTCATGATATGATGGATCATATGCTAATTCCCCTAAAAATCCAAATGTCTGACCTATGTGAGTGTGGGATAAGAATGGATTGAACGTATGCATCAATGAGAGCAGGAAGGATTGGATGAAGAGGAGCAGCAGCACTACAGATCTGTTTATATATCCAGGATTTGATTGACACTTTGTGTTTAGAGAACACACGAGATCTAAACACAAATATTTCAGAATTAACATGATTCAAATTACAATCCACGGACAAGGAGACAAGGGCCTAGAAATCCAAAATTGGCGTTGGTACAATGCAGCATCAATATATATGGATCCGGTAAATAAGGATCCACTATACTTTTCCGAATACAATTTTTTAATCATAGAAAGGAAATTCGCAACAAAATAAAACAAAATTATAAAATACTTACTTGAGGAGCTGATGCATGCAATGAACAGGTAGAAACCCCTGCACGTGCGCAGATAAATGCCGCGTTACTGGAACTTTCACAGCGTGCGCGGCAATTGTACTCTCCGGGAAGATATCGTTGATGAAGATTTGTTTTATTCTTGTCATATTCGTGGTTCTGACTGTCATCTTCATTCCTAGTAATAAAATCAATTACACCATTTTGACTTTGCTTTTAATACTTTTTAGGTTCCACTGTATGTTAGTTCTCACCATCTACAATATACATATATTATACAGGGAGTTCCAATGAGGGGGGGAGAGTCCAGAAGTCCTCAGCTCCCCCCCCCCTCTCCCAATAAAAATGGAATTACGTGACGACTTTTATATGGTCTTTGATCCATGCGGCATTTTTTCATTAAAACAATTATTGCAGTATTCCAGTTTAAACATCTAATACAAAAAAACGCCTGGTCTTGAGATGTTCAAAATGTGGTCTACTCGGTCTACCTTTTTTGTATCTTCAAAATTAACGGAGATATTGCAAAATTTGTATAAATTTTAATTTATTTAATAAATCAAAATTGTCTTAATATCTTATATCTTCGTCAATTTTTAAGACACGAGAAAGCTAGACCCCATTATGAAAAGCTTGTAGGACGTACAGCTTAGTTTTTATACTTTTGTTGTCATGCATTAAATATTATAAATCAAAGACGACTTTAAAGTCGTCTCTCAATTCCTATGTTTATTGGGACACCGTGTATATTATATACTTTGCTTATCTGTTTTCTTTCTTTTTCCACGGATCCGTATTCAAGGAGCAAAATATCTACAAAAAACTTTTTAAAAAAAAACGTTTTACTCTCAAAAACCAAATAGAACTGTCGAAACAGGAGATTTTTAAAAATTTCATTATCTCTGAATGATTAATCATAAACAAAGCGTAAAAAGAAGAAGAAAAATAATTTGAAATTATTGTTTAAAAATCGGTAAATAATCATGTTCTAAGTCAAGACGGATCCTGGATCTGGATCCGCATTAAAATAAAATGGATCCGAAGCACTGGAAAAAAAGTAGATAAACTTCTTTTCTTAACGATCATTAATAAATGTTGAATTGCGGATGATTACCAAGAGTTTGACAGATAAGATCCACGATGGATGAAAGCTGCCCGGCATGGAAGTTGATTGCAATGAGAAGTAACATCTCCCCAAAGCTTGCGGCACACCCAGTACTCTCTGTACACATTTGGGTTCATTTATAAATAAAGTTTGTGGGTTATCAAAACTTAAATTGATATTTTTGCGCAATGACTTTGATCAAATAATACCATCTACGTAGGGTCAAAAGATCTAAAATAATTTAGAACACGCATGATATTTCAATTTATTTATTTTTATAAAAAAAAACCTTATATATTTAAATGTTTCTTATGCCTTATGTCTTTAAAAGTCAGCTCACACAAATTTTGTGGTCACTGAATTTAAAAATGAACAAAAATGTTTCCTGACTCAAAGTATGCCTCTTCTCTAACCAACCATTTTATCCATTCTATCGCCTGTGCACACACAAATATCATTTTTTTTCTTTTTTTTCTTGAGTAGGGATTGAGACTGAATTCAAAACACATGTTGCAAATCTTGATCTGAATTGACCAATTTATTTCTGAATTGGATTGAATTTCTCCCAAAAATTGGTAGGTTTTAACTCAAATTTGAGATGTTTTCAAAATCTAAATTAACAGGCCCGGAGGCGGTTTGTGGGGGGTGGGGGGAGGGGGGAGGTATTAAATGTGACAACTTTAAGTTAAGTGCTTGGTCCGTCAAATTTAGTAATCCCTTTCGATATCGGTCAACATGTGATATCCAAGAGGAAATAATAATCTGTAAAACTCATCAAAAAAAAACGAATAAATAATTCATCCAAGGATTCACGACACAAATGTGTTGACCTTTGATTAACCCAAATAAATATCTTTTATTTCTAATCATATTGTTCCTGTTTCTCTAGAGCAGGAGTAGAGATCAGGGAGTTGCATGATAGTAGAACAGCCAGGCTGAGAGAGACCAGATGAACCCCTGCAGGATTGGCAGGAGGGTGGTGGGTGATTACTTCCATCAGTAGATTAATCTCGTCATCAACCAACTTTAATCCTAGAAAACCAACAGTATATACTATTGTCTACCCTCTACAATCTACACTCTCTACAAGTCTTCATGTCGTGTAAGTAAGTGTAGAGTAAAAAAGTAGATGTTAGTTCCACATTTATTGAAAATATATAATATATATAATAACAACCTATAGAAGATGATGAAGAAACATTCTATTTCAATTTTAATTCCAAAATAAAAAGTACTTTCTTTATTAGGTTGCCTTAGGTATTTCAAAAAGTAACTGCTATAGCCTTGAAGTTGAAGTGCGATTTTTTACCTGCAATACCCCTGAGTGCTGCGTAGAGTCTGAGGAGAGTTGACGTTTCCTTGACCAGCCCAGCTGGTAACTGACGGTCACTGCGTAGAAAACAAAGATTTTATAAAAGACAATAACAGTCAGATAATAGTGGCCGGGTTTAACTATGTCAAAATAAGAAAAAATAACAAGATGTAAAAGAAGACACGGAACCCCCAAACCGCCCGGCCCTCAGGGGTGCAGCGCATCAACTACACAGGAAGTTGCAAAATCCATTTTTCTCCATTTGTCCGCAAAAAATTATTTGAAAATATCAAATTTCTGAGTTGTATCTTTGAAAATGACTGACCTGCACTGTGCCAAAATGTTTGCCAGCCTGTTGGTCAGTTCCTGTCTGAGTTTACCCAAGGTTTCACATTTCCGCTTCTGTCCGGTCTTCAGGTAGTGACATATCCAGTTCCTAGCTCACAACCCATAAACCTCATGTTTTTTTTTATATCATTATTATTATCAAAAAGTAACAAAAAAATCACGATTCCCGCAATCTAAATGTGTCCAAGGTTTCAGTCCGACCACTAAGATCTTTTTCCAGTGTTAAAATTTAATGAATTTGAGCCACATCTCAAATCCACTAAAGGTTTCATTTGAGCGCCGGCTTAAATCTTCAAACATTGAATACAATTTTAAGTGAAACCGACCACATTTGAGCCGCGTCTCAAATTTAAGCCGCGGCTTAAATATTTATATTCTGCCTCAGATCTCTTAATTATTTTTGGAAAATACATAATTCAATTTCTTCCTGCCATCCAATTATTCCGATACATATTAATACATTTTGTGCTTGCGCATTCTAGCCGCAGCAAAATGTTTTGAAAAATTGCAAAATTGCATGATGAGCAGTCTAAATGTTCAATTAAATTTGTATCATTACATTTTACTAATTTTAGTTTTTTATGTCTGTTCTTAATTTTTTACAAGAGGGGTTTACAGTTCCTTGTGAGATTTCCAGATCCGAGAATGAGTCCACTCATAAACTCAACCATATCGTTGTCTAATCATTTAATACACAAATATTAGCATCTGTATTAATGACTGAACAAATAACATCGCATCATACCACACCACATCAATCACATCACATCACATCTCGAATTAAATCACGTCACGTCACGTCACGTCACGTCACGTCACGTCACGTCACGTCACGTCACTTCACGTCACGTCACGTCACGTCACGTCACGTCACGTCACGTCACATCACATCACATCACATCACATCACATCACACGGATTGTTTGAGACATCTTTTTTTACCTTCTCCTCCCGCGCAGCTGTGTTCTAGGGTTAGAAGAATAGATAACCCTGGCAGACGCATCTGATCCACACACCTTAACATTTCAAGGTCAAATTAAGGTCAAGGTCAAAAACGCATTCAAGGTCAAGATGGCGATTAATATCAAAGCCAAGTAGTTTGTTAATATAAAGGTCAAATTTAAAAAAGAACAAGCTTAAATCGATTTCTATTCTAGAAATAAGTTAAAATCAAAGCCAAGTAGTTGGTTAATATTATAATCAAGTTAAAACATAAAAAACCAAGCTGAAATCTATTTAAACTCTAGAAATAAGTTAATATAAAAGATAAATTAAATTCTCAATATGTCAAAAGTTAATAACATAAGGTTGAATGGGGTAAAACGGTCTAAAGCACAATTATAAAAGTTCTTAATAAAAAAGTTCTTAGATAAAGAAAAGTCAACTACAAGATCAAGTTCAAGGCCAAGTACAAGATCAAAATCAAGATCAAGTTCAAGGTCAAGGTCAAGGTCAAGTACAAGATCAAGTTCAAGGTCAAGTAAAAGATCAAGTTCAAGGTCAAGTACAAGATCAAGGTCTTGGTCAAGTAAAAGATCAAATACAAAGTAAAGTAGAAGGTCAAGTAGAAGGTCAAGTACGAGGTCAAGTACGAGGTCAAGTACGAGGTCAAGTACAAGGTCAAGTACATGTTGATGTACAAGGTCAAGTATTTGGTCAGGTAGAAGGTCAAGAAAAAGGTCGGGTACAAGGTCAAGTTCAATGTCAAGTTCAAGGTCAAGTAAAATGTCAAGAAAAAGGTCAAGAACAAGATCAAGTACAAGTTCACTACAAGGTCAAGTACAAGTAAAAGTACAAGTTCAAGTACAAGGTCAATTACAAGATCAATTACATGGTCAAGTACATGGTCAAGTACAGAGTCATGGCCGGTCAAAACGACATAAGAAAAGTAATGATCTACTTCAAGTCTACCTTGCTCTTATAGTGAGAGCATGAGATGGACACATCCTTGCCAGGAGCAGAACGGCTTCACGTCTCACTTCCTCCTCCTCCTCTTCACTACGCTCTCCACAACCGATTAAGTGAAATGCAACTACAATAAAATATGAATTAACTTTCAGATCTTAGAATCTGTAATCTTGGATTCCGTATCACGGATCTTGATTTTAAGAAAGAAAATTTTTGGAAATGTATCAGGAAATTTTACCATCATAGAAAATATCTAAAATTCCGGTTCAAAGCCTCATTTTTTAATATGTAAAATTGAAAAGATCGAAAGAGTATGGTTACCTTGAAGGTAGCAATCTGCTTGGTTGGCTACAATATGGCAGATAATCTGAGGACCATATCTAACACTTAAGAGTGCTTCGCAAACGTCCTAAAAACAGCAGAAAAGTATTGAAATTCGACCGTACATATTATTTGAGCCAAGCAATCAATCAAAAGGGGATTGGGCACATTTCCCCTCAAATGATACAAATTTTCAAGAGGGATTCTAGCCTTCATTTTGGAAGCTATTTTTTTGAGATTTTGCATGAAGGTCGGATTAGTGATTAACTCTAGGAAATTATTTTCAAAATGTAAAAAATAAAAATTACAACATTTTTTCCGCATTTTCCTCGTTTCTTAAAAAAAAAGGTAGAAATTGGGTCTATATTATTTTGATGATTTTTTTGATGAATTAGTTTTCTTGTTTGCCGTCATTTTCCCTCTTTTGTTTCCCACCATTTTCCCCTTGGAAATTGAATTTGAGTTCCTATATTCAATTTTGAAGTTTTTCTGTTTAAACTTTGGATCCAGATCATAATTGTGATTACCTTTCTGGACTGAAAATGGGCCAAAAAAATTCTTAGATTAAATAATTTAAAATTAATAAAGAAAGACACAACAATTATTTTGCTGTAAAAATTGCGCCAAATGAAAAAAAAAAGATTTTCCGCCAGAAATCTTTTTTTCAAGACAATCTTCTAAGATTTTGCAAGGAGACTAAAATATTTATTTAGACCTGGACTAGCTTATTGAAAACCATTAAAATCTATTTGCATTTTTGGCGGGATTTTGTATCTTTTATTTCTCAACTTTATCTGACCTTGATGCAAAATCTGGAGAAAATAGCTCCCAAAGTGAAGACGTGAATCTACCTTGAACATTTTTGTCATTTGAGGGGAAATGTGCCCATTACCCTTTAATCACAAGATTTTGTTTGGATTTTTTTAAAAACATAATTCAATATTATTTTTACCCTTGGTTGAAGCAAAGCTGGTAGTTCTGCTAGTGCTATAGTCAGAACATCGCAAACCTAAAAAAAAACAATAATTGATTAAAAGTACAGAATATAAAATTCTTTTGATAATCAGAATTTTTGAAGATTTCATCTGAGACATAAAAAAATCTTGACTTTCAATTATTCAAAAAATATCAAATATTTTCTAAACTTACTCCCATCCACAGGTGGAAAAAAGCCTGTCAATTAAAGAGCAATAAAAAACTATCAAAAAATATTTATCCGTCCCAGGAGAAAGCCTGTATACTTTCTATTTAAAACATTCTTTATTATAAAGCAGGTTTTGAATTGAATTATATTAATTCTTAATTGATTGCCTATTTGTGAAAATTCAGGATTTTTGCATCTTAAACAAAAAACATCCAATTTTATCTCTTAAGATATATTCAAAAACATTCTTACCTCACTGAGGTAAACCCTGTGGTCAAAAAGCTCGCTGGGTTTAATAACAATTTTTTCTGGAGCTGTGGTGCCCTCTTCAACTTGCGGCTGAAACATAAACCATTTGCTCCAAGGGTTTATATTTTTCTAAATTTATCTCCCCACCCTAACCTATTCAACAATCTTTTATTTCCTCATTTTACAGAAGTTTTAATTTTAATGTTTTGTTAAATTGGGAAAAACCTGAAAATTTTGACACCAAAAGGCAAGTTTTTTCAACCCTTTCCCCGAAAAATTCATTTGATTCTTACTTTAAGTCGATTTTCCCCCCAATCTATCAAGGGATTTGCTCTATATACGTCAAATAGGGCAATGACCAAAGAGCAAATGGAAATAGAGCAGATGTCGTAGCGCCCAATTAAGCGTTAAAACCCATATAACTATTTTTGAAGAGGGGGCCTAATTTTTCAAGAAAATATACACCCCTGGAGAAATTTAAATAATTTATATTTATTTTACACGGAATAGAAGAAAAATTGATTATAGAAATGAGCTTACTTTCACCATTATTGTCATTAACTCTGAGAGAACCAGACGAAGTTTTCTCGTTGGATCACTTCGTTCAAACTCTAAAGCAGGCCCTGCACTCGTAAAAAAAACAATCAATCAATCAATATTCTAAACTTTAATGGCTGGTCTTTGAATACACTATGCAATTATTATGTCAAAACAAAGGCACCAACTGAGTTTTAATTTATTTCTGAGGGGGGACTAGAAGGGTTGTGTGGCAATTTAGATAAAAGTTTATTGATTTCATAAATTCAGGGATTTGTATGGGGAAATAGGAAGGGGGGGCATTGTTTCATGAGTCGATTAAATATATTTTAAAATGTGAAATTGATACAACATTTCATTTAAAGTTCATCTTTCATGAAGTAAAAATATGTAAAATTTCTCTAAATATAAAGATTGATTTGTTTCCTGTTGTAATGTTAGTGATGAGTATACTCTCTCCTGTCCCAGCTCCCAACTGTAACAAATATCTTTTTTTAAATCTTTAACAATATAAACAATTAGAAAGAAAAAAGTCTAAATTGTTAGCATCAAAGACGTAATAAAAAAGGATACAGGTGACATTACAGGGTATGCATTTCTTGAAAAATAAATGATCTTTTGGGTAAAAAGTGAATTGCCAGGTGATGTTTATTTTTTCATTTTCACAACAAAATGTGTGGCTTAATATCTACATGACAATTTATAAAATTGTATTGTTTCAGTTAATATGAAAGTTAAATGAAATGACAGTTTTTCTTTAAAAATGTTATAATGTTATATGCATACCTTTTGCTTTAATTGCTGTTCCTTTTTCACGTCTAGTTCTGAATTAAAATACAGTCATTTCAATGACTTACTTTGCTTTATCAATAAATCAGTCAACAGTTTCATATGCAGAATCACAAAAAGTACCTTCATTTGAATTTATTCCATCAATATTTTTTTTACATAAAGGGTTTCCTACAGCTGTATATTTTATCCTTTTCTCATAAAATTAGTCAATACAATAGGATCTACATTTAACCTTTGCATTGTCATGCTTAATATCTCGTTCATGTTAGCTAACCTTGAAACTGGTTGATTTCTTTCCTTTATAATTAAAGGAACTGTGAGCGTAATTTTAAGAGACCCCTCCAATGCCACTATATAATAAAACCTGATTTACCAGATGTAACCTTAACACCTTAATCTGAACAAAATCGTGGAAGATTACATTGTGTGTTTACCTCGAAACGGGTTTTTTTCCTATGAATTACTCCATTGTTTTTTTATAAGCAAGAAATGCGCAAATCTCTTTTGCAGAAAAACCACAAATGAAAATGAACTGGAAACTTTAGAATTGAATATCCTTAATACCGATCGGTTATTTAATCTGGAGATTAATAACAAGAGGAGAACAAGCCTTATTTAATCTGGAGATTAAGAAAAAGAGTGGATCAAGCATTTATCCCGATATATACCATTCAAAAGTTCCCAGCTCAGTTTAAATAATCAAAAACATGCATATCTAATTCATACTTGATCAGTAGATTTTTAATTGCACCGATATAAAACGGGCATTACCATCTATGGATGAAAGATCACTTGAATTTATGCATACATTCCCTTTAATTGAATTATTAAAATGTTGAACTGTATAATTTCCTAGACTATGAAAATCAATACTGAGAAGTGCAACAATAGAATTAACTAACTCTATCCTGCTCAACACCTAAAATAAAAAGCAAATATTTATTTTCAAAGTAAGTATTTTTTCCTGTACAATTTCTAAAAATTATAGCTCAAATTTATGAAAATAAAGGCAACTTAGGTAAGAGGGATTGTTATCAGAATAGGTAACCTATGGGTTTAAATTAAAAGATGTTCCTTTAAGAGGATAAATTAAAAGTAACTACACAATCATTGCAAAAGGATCATGAAGATTTACTTCAGATTTACGGATTTATTTAATATTTTCCTTACTTTTTTTCACCTATCTTAATGCATCAACTTGAAAAATAATTGTTTGTATCCGGATTCATGGGTACGCATATTTTTGCGGATCCGGATCCAGGAAGCCAAAATGTTGCGGATCCGGATCATAAGCACAATACAAAAAATGATGATTAATCCGTTTGAACTCAAAAACTATTTTTGGCGTAGATTTGGGGTCCGTCCAAGTATACGATATTTGGACCCCGCCCCCCCTTCCCCCTCCTAAAAATTTTGTACATTACCACTTTATCAAGAATTTTCAACTAAATTAGTATATATTTAGGGTTAGGTTAGGTTAAGACACTATCAGGGCCGAGCGCTACGGTTAGGACAGGCTAGGGGGCCGAGCGCTGCGGCTAGGACAGGCTAGGGCGCCACAGCTAGGACAGGATAGGGGGCCGGGCGCTGCGGCCCCATGGTCAGTTATATAAATGTCTTACATATAAGATTCATGTACAAAATTAATAGGAGGGAGGAGCGTCCAAAAATTGTAATTTAGGAAATTACCTAAATTTGTGTAAATTTAGCAGTATGACCGACTGAAATATTCAACACTAACAGTTTATAACCTGCAAGACTGATGTTCTGGACTGAAGACAGGCAGGGCTCTGATCCATCGGAGCTATTAGGCTCATTCTCACCAGGCAGGATAGAATTGGACGCAGCTCTGCGTCAGAGCAGGTCAGGATTGTGTCGACATCAACTACAGAAATTGCGCGAAACACTTTCGGAGACACCGGCTCCTCCATTTTTTAAAATCGTATTCTGCAAAAGAGTAAAATATTCTAAATATCACAATTTCACTAACAATTAATAAAACTTTAGAATTTAAAAAACCCTAAATTGCAAAAATAATCCACAAAACAAAATAATAACACAATTCAGCTCTCATCACTGACCGCTGTCTGCTTAGAAGTAAGCAAGACAAGAACACGGAGAACGATGCCGCGCGTACAGATATTTCTTATTTTGAATATTAGAGGGCCCTTGTGACGAATATTCCAAACAAACAAAATATTTTTTTTCCTTCATAAAAACATCGATATTGTAATGTAAATTGTATAACGTATAGGAGTTTCAGAAAAATGTAAAAGTAAAATTCCTTGTAGATTAATGAACAATTTAAAGTCAATGTATGAATGGCCCTTCAGTTTCTTCGTACTGTACCGAACTTTTCTCTTATCTCTGCATTATTTGCGGAATTTCATTGGTTGAAATATCGAGGATTTTTTAGGATTGGATAAACAGAAAATTATTAGAAAATACAATCCCTCTATTCGTTTAAACAGAAATAATCCTGTTATGATTGGATGATAAAATCTAAAAAATTATGGACAGTGCATTCTGTTCTTTTTAAACTTATTAGTTATTGCTACTAGCATAGAATGAAATTAGTGCAACCCCGAGATTTTATTTTTTTATTATTCAAATCTATTTATTGTTCAAAATGCACATATACAATAAAAATAAACTTCTTATATATATCAGAAGTTTTGCATAGAGCATCATCATCTATTTATAAAAATAATCGGGTCTGTCCTAGTGAACGATTTTTGGACCCCCCCCCCC